TGAGGCAGAAAATATTGAAGAGAACCACACTCGCTCACAAACGCACAGTTACCGTGTTCCCTAGTCCACACCGCGCCGTAACCGCTGACTATACTACACTGCACGATGGTATCCGCACGACTGTACGACGTTCATTTGCAATCCAAGACTCCGTTGGCTCCGTCGCGCTCTCGTGCGTGCGCAGACATTTGCCGAATGTTTGCCGAACTTTGCCGAATCTGAAGTTCGGCAGATTCGGTCCATCACTAGTAACAACCGAAAGTTGTCCTCGTGTATATCATTGCTAGTATAATGCATGCGCACTCACTACTTTACAGGTGCCACAAAAAGTGGCTTCTCGCCAATTCAGTTTTCTACCTTATTGCAAATGGCCTGCGCTCTTCTCATTTTCGGAAGCGAATCCATATGTGCTGGGCTGTGGGAAGGCACACTGGGTTGTTGCTTTATGGAAGTTTTACATCGGATAGACAGGCAAGATACGGCCTGACTCAGGCCGTATCTTTGCTATGTTTTTGTTATGTTTATACTTTTATCGGAAGCTCATATTTTTCAGGACTAATTTAGATGCCCTGGCCTATATTATGTGTAGCTTTCGAAATCATTAATGCCATACAGATTGAGGTAGGCCTGAAAGTTAGTGTGTTTGTTGCACCTGGTCGAAAGTGAGGAATTTTTTATATATATTTTTTTTTAATTCATAAAGCACACAATATTTGCATGCAGTTGACTTAACCTTTGGTGTGCTAAGTGAAACAGGAAACATTTTTCCCGTACCAGTCTTCGCCTGCCTTCCGCAGAACCGCAAATTTGGGACCTAATGCAATCCGCGGTGGGAGCGGGGCCGTCGCGCAATCTTGAAACATTTTTGTTTCTCGTAGTGAAAACGCGATTTCGAGAAAAGAAAAAAAAAAGTTCCGTTTCGTGCGATTCATTTGTGTGCACATCACATATAAAAAAACCACAAAAAAAAATGTTGAGTGGAGTTGAGTGCTAGTTCGATCTCTCGTGGAATCACCCAGCAGCTATCCATGTAACTTGCAACGCGTCAAATTAGCTTTGTAGAAAGGTGTTTAGGACAATGAAGGAAAAGCTGTTCAGCAGTCGTAACAACCTTCTTTTTTCCTCAACCCCCCCCCCCCCCCCCCCCCAATTGGCAGATCTCCTTCCTCTACATATCGCGAATGCACTGCGTCCGCTAAGAAACCTAAATGGCTAGAGCGTTTTAGAACATGCCTTACTTTCAATTCATGTCCAGAAGTTGCCGAAAACAAAATAGTCCGGGGAGCCCGGGTGAACACGCAAGATGAAGCACAATGACGCGACCAACATCACCCAGCCGCGATGCCTGTGACTAGAGGTCTGCACAGGCCGATATTTAGAAGTCTGCAGCCCGTTGTCTATTGGGCCCGGACTTGCCCGCGGCCCGCTGTCCGTTTCCGACAGCCGGCCCGGCATGAGGCTAATTTCACGGGCCAGGTGCGCCCAGTATAAATAGCTCACAAATTGTGCGGCATGGCAGCTCGCTTGCCACTGCAACACAGAAGTTGATAACGGTACCTGATAGGAAATTTTGTAAGCATCTTTTTTCTTTTTTTGCTGCTAATATTAGTTGGACCGATCTGCAGGCATAGGAAGCTTGTTAAGAAAAATCGCCCCGATCTTCCTTTTCTCCGACCAAACCTGCGTGGAAAGGACGGAAAAACGAAAATAACAAACAGCAGTAAACAAAACCACGTGTCATAGTTGAAAAGAAAGGGAAACGTCGCGACAGGTTTATACAAAGTTCTAAATTAACATCTCTCGCTGCGCACAACCGTAAAAAAAAGATAATAATAAAAAAAAGTGGCTTTTTTGCGGTAGTTTGCGAGAAATTGTTCAGGAAAAGCACCCCTCAGGAGATCCTCTTCACCCATATTGGGAATGGAGGCACTCGCACGTACAGATGGTTTACACCGGCGAGGGTACGCATTGTTTAGGCGCGTGTTGATGTGGAAAAGCAAAGGTATGAAGGTTGCGCCGCCGGGGACGAAAAGGAACGACACGCCGCTAGTCCTCTGGAACAGCATTCGCTATTGGGGAGGAGGAGCGAACAGGACGCCCCAAGCGGTTAACTTTAGAACTACCCGGATGGGGACAACAAATGCAATGATTCAGGGCTCGGCCGGCATAACCAAACGCGGCGTCAGCGTTCGACTGGAGTTCGTGTTCTCCGGTGAGGGCGAGGAGGGGCTCTTTTGTTTCCACTCCGACCTGCATGAACAGTGCAGCATGCACGGTGCCAGCTCCGCACAAAAGCCGAAGTGGGTAAAGTTCGCATTCTCTGAGAATAGATCCGGCACTTAAAGGGATACTTCAACGAAATGTGAAATATTCCCGTCGTGTTCAAAAATAGGTTGAATATGATCCACAATATCCGTAAATGACAATCGCACGTTTGTATTTTGAGCCTGGTGTCTGTATTTTTTGTTATAAACGGCACACTCCGGCAAGCGCTCGGAGAAGGCCCAGCGGAGACCACGTGACATCCAACGCAATCGTGACGCAGGTCGTCTCAAGACGAGCAAAGCTACGGCGAGGCTGACGTCGAGAGGATGGCCTAGTCGTTCCAGCCACCGAAGCGGCTGCTTTTGTACGATTTTTGAGTGACGGGATAATCTTCTGTAATCTTGCAGGGGGACAATAGCGACTTCTGCGACACACAAAAGGCATTCTCAGGAAGAGGGAAGTTCCTCCTGCCCCTCTTCTCTCGTCGTGGCCGGAGGCGAGACAACCTCCGTCACTCGCTGTCAAGGTTCCTAGACGGGCATTACAAGCGAGGCGTTAGCGACATCCACCAGGTACTCTTTGCTAATCATTTAAATCGTTTTAAAATTCCTTTTTGTGGCTTTTTTAACAAGATATTGGAATGTTCGATGTGATGCTGCTCCTTTGAACACATATCGACCAAAAAATGAGCGCCGAAATTTCGTTTAGTATCCCTTTAACGTCGCTTCGTCAATTGTCAGTATTTTTTACATTAAACTGTGCCCCGCGCTCTTTTGTAGATGACATGGACATGCCCATAAGGCCTGTTAGCATGTGCGCAGCCCTTGAATTGAGTAAACACCGAGGGTGGGGACATGGATGGATGGATGAATACGGCTGAGCCCTTTGGATCGGGCGGTAGCTTACGCCACCTAGCCATTTTGTTTTACCATTTAAGCTTAGTATATTTAAATGTGAAATCTATATTCACTCCGCAGTGCAAAGAAAGTGAGGCTATGAAACCCCCTTGCCATCAGTGAATAAGAAAATACCTAGTTTTCTCTCGATTTCTGCCCCATTCACTTAATCTTTGCTTGGTAATCTCTAGTCCTGAAATCCACTCTCCCTTCGCTGTCTCTAAAACCCAATGACTTTATTAAATCTATGTTGTCTTCGGTAGGCATAGGGTGAAACCCTTTACAGTAGAGTATAAGTGCTCAGCCGTCTCGTCCTCCTCTCCACAACAAAGGGGTTAGAGCGCCCCCTATAGTTCGATCTCCTGCCCAATACACACCGAACCGTACGAAAAAAAATCAGATTTTCCACTCTGGTGAAGGAAGAGCAGCGGAGCTGTAGCTTGTTCTCAACCGTGGCTTTCTAGACGAGCGATCTACTCTTCTTTCGCAAGGGAATCTGAAGCGCTCGAGGCAGTGGAACTTTAGGCGATAGCGGCTTCGCGGCAGTTGCGGAACCATCCGCGCTGCTGGGCATATCACCGCTCGTTCCGCTCTGCTTCCTCGGAAGGTTGCTGCCATCTACGAGCGACGGCGGCAACCAGTTGTCTGGTTGCCGCCATCGCTTATAGATGGCGGTAGCTGTCCCGAGTTCGGTGACACCATTTCTTTGCTGGTTTTCACCTTGTGTTGTACCGCAGGAAAGGCTACAAGTGCGAGCTCCTTGCTCTAGGGCACATCTCGGCGGCACAAGATCTCGTGCACCAAGGGCAGCTGCCAACGTTGAGCTCGCGCTTCTAGCCTTCGCTGCGGTACATAAGGTGAAACGGAGTGTAGCCCTTAACAGCTCCGCTGTAAAACACACACGCATATACATATGCTTCTGCATCTGTTAATCCCCCACTGTGGTTCCTCTCTCAACCCCCAACACACTTCCAAAAAACATGCTACTAAGAAAAAAAAAAAGTATTGGCCGGCTTGATTCGCTTTGCCGCCGCCGCCGCCGCCGCCGCCCCGCCCCGCCCCGCCCCCCCCCCCCCCCCCCCCCCCCCCCCCCTTGCTTATAGACTTGAATGCAGGGCCCGTACCGGACCCTTCATGAATGTAACCGCAAAGCCCGAGCCCAGCCCGTGCGAAGCGTGCGAAGCGAGCCCAGCCCGTGCGGTTTGGTCCGTAGCAGTGTAGATCTCTACCTGCGACGCTGACGGCTCACCCGTTATGAGTGGGCCGACATCGCCCTCGCGGCGAGCGACGGAGTTAGCGCAATTACACTCGTACTGCTGGGGAGACTTGAATGGGACGGCCGGAGAAGCCTTCGCGCGCGCACTTCAGGGTCTCTGAGGCCATGCACACGCACTCAACACCGATTTTGCACCCGTATCTCCGCCGATGATGTTTTCTTCTCGTCGCAGAACGGGAAACTTCAAGGGAGTTGAATCCCTATTTCTTCTAAACCGAATCGCACATATGGCAGCTTCCAGCACCATTCCTGGTGCCACTTAAGAATACGAGGAGCAACCAATCTTGGTCACCCTCGCGACCAAAATTTTTTTACCTAACCTTCTTTTCCACCCTTCTCCAAGGTGAATGGGGTTTCCCAATCGCTGATCCAGAAAAGGTCCCGAAAACATCAATGGTTGCAAACTAGTGCCCTAGAGCTTGTTTTTCCTTCATCCAGTCTTAACCTAGCTACAGGTTACAGTGTCGGCCACCACAATGGCACGACGTACAAGCCACATAGTGGTGGCGAGTGCTGCAAGATGGCTGGCATGTCAGTGTCCAAACATAACACAAAGCCAGACCTCCAGGAACAGAAGCCTTTATTGGAACAACGCACGGCTCGATTCCGTTCCTTCCCCAGTAGCACACGACTGTGTGGGACGATACGTTGGGTTGGTCGAAGCGACAGGTATGCACGTGGGAAACGCCACTACATTCGTTTGGATGCGTTTAAAACATGGATTTTCTTCACGTATGGTGATGGACAAAATGGGAGACATTGCATGAAAATCGAGATAGTAGACAATGAAGCAGAGTGAGGTCGCACAGCTCCAGCAATATCTAGTAGGGTCGAGCTCTTCGGTCTCCTCTGTCGCCCCTGCAAGGTAACAAGGAATCAGCTCTCCGGAAGGGCAGCCTCTTTGCACAACGTTATGGCAAAAAAAGCCCTGCCCCGGGGAGGCCTTCCCATTGGCCCGTTTCCAGCAGGCCTGCTCCGACTGGCACGAAAATAAGCTAGTACAAAGAAACGGCGTCACGGCACTCGCCAAACACTTCGTATCTATGCCAATTCTTATCCTGCTGATAGTTGTGTGCCACATTTATTGCACATTATCCCACATTTCATCTTGGCATAACTGCATTAGAAGCATTTTTTGCTCTCGCACTTGTTGCCCGAACCAGCCCTACCATTCTCAGGTTTGTTCACACATCTGCGTCAACTGCATTGCACTGCTTGCATCGCCAAGCACAGCGCCTCCCCATTGACTCGTCGTAAGCGTTGCCATAGCAACAGCTCGACGCAAGCAGTCTTAACAAGGTGCAAGTGGTGGCAGTTGCACTCTAACTCAACTGTGTGAACCGGGTTTTTGTCTTCCGCCTCGTCAAAATATTGAACTTTTCTGGGCTACAATTAATTTGCCATAATTAGCTAAAAATTGAATTATATATACAGTATATTCATCCGTATACTCTCAATCGTCGCTATTTTTCGTGTCCTTCACTACAAATACACCTAGGATTCTTTTTTAATTTTGTCAATAAACGCTTAAAGAGGTAGATTTATCTGGGAATTTTTTTTTCTTCTAATTTACTACTTTCTTTTTGTTATCGAGGCCACAACAGACACCTTATCTGGTGCCTTAGCCACAAAGTTTGGAGGCCCATGCTCTAAACTGAAAACATCGAAGCTTAAAAAATAAAATACTCTCAATATTACAATTAGCTTAACATCCCGGGATAACCTGTCCCCTATTTTTGGCTTCATTTCCTATTTTTCTTGCAAACACCCAAAGAGAGACCACTCCTGGGGCCCTATCTGGACACTTGGCGAAAAGCCGGATTTCTCAGTCTTTCTCGCCAAGTGTCCAGATTAGGGCCCCTGGTTATCCTTGTGTTCGGATTGATTAATGACCTTGACGTAAATGCGGCTAGTTGGCTATGGTGGGGGACGTAAGCGAACATTGCTGACTGGGAAGTCATCTTTGCTTAACTTTGCTTTCTCCTTGTGCAATTGAGAAAAAAAACTATTTTTAGATTGTGTTACTCTGCCAATCTTATTGTGGTGAAAAACACCTCACCACAACAAGATTGGCAGGATAACACAATCTAAAAATAGTTTTTTTTTTTGTCAATTGCACAACCAACGAAAGTTAGTGCACTCCTTATTTTACTTGGTTTTATGTGGGCTATTACAGTAAGCATTCAAGCTCAATCCGATTTCAAATCTTACGGGACTGTCACTGAAGAATTCCATTTGAGAAAGACAAATTGAAAAAATAAACCAAATGTTTTGTCTTCACTCCAGGGAGTCCTTTGCAAAGAACAGGGGTCCTTGTGCGCACAAAGCACGCCGGAGACTTTCAGGTAAGCTGGTGTCATCTGCTACTAGTGTCTAGCACCAGACACCGCAGCTGCCAATTTCCACGATTACCAGCGCCAGGGAGAGACTCTACCTAAGCACTCGGCTGCGGCGTCGAGGCTCACCAGTTTCCAGTGCTCCGACGCCGTCAAAGCTATTCGCGCGTGACTCGCATGCTTGACACGCCGCACCGCATTAACCAATCAAAACGGCACGCAGAGAAGTAGAGACTCACCCGGGTCCGCCCCGCATGGGTCCTCCACGTCCGGGCCCTCCCCGGCCCCCTCCAAAGCCGCCCCCTCGTCCCCCCATGGGGCCCATGCCTCCCCTGCCCATGGGGCCTCCCCCCCTGCCCCCACGGTCACCTCCCCTGCCCCCCCTGGGGCCGCCCCTCGGGCCGCCGGGCGGCCCGCCGTCCGGTCCACCGGGGCCGCCTTCGCGGGGCGCCGAGCACCGGTTGCACTGCACTCGCCACGAGAAGTTGTTGTTGCCGCACGACCTGCACAAGAGCCCCATTGCCTTCTTAGGATGGCAAATTGGAAAGAAACAGGCTCAGACAGTTTTACTGCAGAAAATTCTCAAAGCCTCGAGAAATTATATTTGCCATAAAATGCAACAAAAAAAATAACTAAAAAGGCTGAGACTTGGCCACTACTACCGTAATATCCCGAGTCATCGCCCAACCCACTTTTTGGGACAATATTGATATCCAAAAAAAAACACAGGGTAATTGACAAACACCTTAAAGGACTCATGAAACGCTTTTTCAACTTTTTTCTGTTTACCTTTCCTCCTCAACTCATAAATCGCGCATTGTACCAAACGGTTCAAGAAGTCGGAAAGGGGGAGTCCCCTCTTGCTCGGAATCTCGCTTGTGTAGCCCGACACAGCCATTGTCCCCCTAGAAGATTAGCCCGTCGCTCAAAATTCCGACTATTTGCTTTCCCCACCCCGTTCACCCCGAAGCTGACAGTGCTGTGGAAGCTACGTGCTCCTTGGGCCAGCCACACATTTTCCACGTGATCACGCTCTTTCGCGCATACCGACCCGCAGAGAATGAGGTCAGGTGATGAAAGGGAGGCGGCCGATTGGTCCGGCAAGCGCGTAGCTTCCACCGCAATGTCAGCTTAGGGGTAAAGGGATTAAGGGGGGATATGGCCTGGGAGGGTCAACTTTTGAACCCTTCACCCAATTTGGTTCAAATTTTGAGGGTTATTTCAGCACTATGAGGAAGGATAATCTGCAAAGTTTTAGCATTATTGGTCAACTTTACAGCATGCTACGGTTCTCGCACTTCAGAAAAAAGACACTTCATTAGGAAGTCTATCGTAGAAAAATAAAATTAGCTGGTGGCAAACTTTTTGCTTTAATGTGAAGAACAATGCCCACAGTGCAACCTAGATAAAAAATAAATTGCAAAATATTCAATTATAACAAAAATAAGAACATCCCAAAATTTAAAAAGAAAATGTAAAATTTTTGTTTTAAAAATTTTTTTTTTTTTTTTTTCATGAAGGAGTAGATTTTTTGAACTGTGAAGTAGTCTATCTTGTTCCCCAGAAAATTTCAGTCCCAGAAAACCTTGAATGATGTCCCTCTGTATTCAGAATGTCAAATGATAGCTTTCCTAAAACAAGAATTCCTGCCAAAAAGTGAAACTGAGAAAAATGCGTTTGAAGTTTCAACTTGTTTTATTTTTATTTTCGGACGATGCCAGAAACTCGAAATTTACCCGAGTCATTGGTGGCACCTTCAACTACATGAGCATGAGGAGGGCAGTGCGTTGAGGCCCCCGAAGAGATTCGTGAGCTTTGTGAAACTGATGCCACAGTCTCTTCCAACGACGCCTAGACGTACCACGAGTTCGTTCTCTCGAAACTTGCCGATTGATGGTGAGTGCGGTGTCGCGACGATGTCTCCGCAAGTCGAGCAGCTAACAACAAACTAAAGGTTGATGTCAACTTCTTGCAAGCTCAGTAGTTTTCCGTGGCACTTAAGGCAGAGTAAAATCGCAACAAGTCTGCATGGCGGACACATTGAGGAGCCGTTCAGGGGCTTTTCAACGGGAGCGTCTGTCAGCTCCGGGTCGTCCGTAATCCCCGCGTCGAAATCGCGCAGGCTGAGCTTCCTCTCGAACGTGGTCAGCACATCCGATTCGGAGATGAAGCTGTAGGCTCCGATGTCCGCCAAGCACCAGTTGAGCTTGGAGATCGTGACGACGGTGGCGGAGACGGCGACGATGGTGCCGGCGGAGACGGGTCCCCGTCTCCGCCGGCCCTTTGTTTCCGCCGTTGAGAACGCCGGCCAAAGCAACTGCGAGTGCTAACTTTGGAAGCAGGCATTTCTCGGCAGAAAAACTACTGGGAACAAAGAGGGAAAACGAATCTAAACAGCGGCAAACTAGCGATACGATCAAAGCGAAAGAAGCTGCCGATAGCGCGCGCAGGCAGCCAATCGTGAGCCCTGTTTCGGGTCACAACCAATGGGATTGCTGGTATCATAGTTCCCACGTTTTTTCTGCTTGTATATACGGGGTTCTCCCGGGACACAGATAGCCTCAAACGTAGGAAGCTTCTATGGGCAGAAACTTGAAGAAACGGCGCTTCCAACGAGGGTAAGATATCTCGGCTGCGTCGAACGAGTGCGGAGTAGGCCTAATTTGAAAAGGCCGAACTTCGCCGTCTGCTTGCTCGGCGGGTCGCCGCGCGCGGCCGCGAGCTTGCCGAAAATAATTTTTTGCGAAATAAATACTGCGCATTTATAAATAAAACTTTCTGAAACTATGCTTCAGAACATAGTGAACCCAAATATAATATTTTTTGAAAATGCATTTTTTCGGAAAAAAATAAAATTTCGTGGCCGTATCCCCCCTTAAGTGAGGTCCGGTGTCGTGTGACGTGCGCTTGGGCCCTGGTGACGCGCTGCGGGGGCCCGGTTATGGTGGCTAGTAGCCCGGTGACGCGCTGCGGGGTCCGCGGATGTATCACAGTGAAAAGGCGGAGAGTTTACGAAGGGAAGGAGGTATGAAATAGTCTGCTATGTTTTGCAACTTTTTGTAGCGAAAGTCAGGCTTCTGACTTTCTACCTCTGTTCTTTTGGCCCACTGAACGATGTGCTATTAGTAAAATCCCAATATAAATTGATTTACTCCAGCCCAAAATTCGTTTCATGGGTCCTTTAACACGGACTCTGCGATCCAGCGAACATTCATCCTACCTGAATGACGTGGTTGCGGATCTTACAGTTGGAGGACATCTGTGACAAAGTAAAACGAAGGTGGAAAAGACTATTCTCTTTGTTTACGCATTTCCTCCGCGAGTGACCCCGAAGTCATAGTGCATCCGTGTGAAAAGAAAACAGTGGAGATAACGTGAAACTGCTTTGCTTACAAAAAAACTTGTCCAGACAAACAAAAAAAAAAGTTGGAAAGACAACACGAGCAGTAACCCACTCAGGGATTACGAGGTCAGCAAACGCCCCATATCCTGGAATGTAAAGGTAGTAAGGTCAAAGCTCATCTCCACCAAAGTAAGGTTACCACGAACCTGCTCCTTCTCCTGGAACGTAGCAACTGCAGTTATTAAGGTTGTGCAATGTTTCAGACAATGCCAACGGCTAAATAAAGCTTTGCTGGAACGCCGCACACAGACATTTGTAGAGCATCCCATTTCGAGCTCAGTGTTCGTGGTGCCGTCCACGCCATGCAACAATGCCGCCTTAGCCTGCATTGATAGCACGGCGTGCACGGACGCCCACATGCATGCACCGAACAAGAAAGTTACGTAAGAGCTTGCGATTGACCAGGCACCCGACTTGGCCAGACGCCAAGGTATTTGCCAACGTGATTGCCGGCTTTCCCGCATTCCCAGCATCGCTCTTAGTCGCTTCTTTGGCCCGCTCCCACGCTCGCTTTTTGCGCCTGGTTGGTTTTTTTGTTTTTTTTTTAAATATTAAGGAGAACCCATTGCGGTGTTATAAACACATACAATGGGAACAAACATTCCCGCTGTATGCCGATCGGCGGGTCCGAAGCAAGCATCGGACTTTGAGATAGTAAAACATTCTTTCATGAGCATTTGTTGGATAAAACAATAAAACTAATTCGAGTTTTGAGTTTTCTCTCTTGTGCAGCCACCCTAGATACACACAGAAAAGGGGCTTTTTTTTTTCCTGCACTCGCCCATTTTAAGGAATTTCAGGTGGCAGAGGGGTGGGCGATGACCCGGGATATTACAGTAGTTTCCGGAATTGTGCCTGTATAGGCTGCCATGGCCCATCGATGAGAAAACCCACAGGCCAGCGCTGTTGGGCGACGCTGCCATATACTCTCAAGACCAGGGAAGCGCGCTAAATATTGCCTGGTTTGAGATTGCCGCTGGAAAGTCCCTACAAAGTGATATGGCCAAGCAAAAAGAAATACAAACACAAACAAACAAACACACATACCGTGTTTCCTGGTGTAAAAGACACTTTTTTTCAAAACTTTTCAGGGGTGCGTCTTATATACTAATTTTTACTTGGAAACGTGCGAAAAGCGGGGGGTGCATCTTATACAACGATGCGTCTCATACATACCACTTTTTTCCCACAATTTTCGGTGGTGCGTCTCATATGCTAATTTTTACTTAGAAACTTGCGAAAAGGGGGGCGCATCTTATACTCAGGTGCGTCTTATAGACCGGAAAATACGGTGCTTCATAAAAATGTATGCTCAGACTTGCACATAACGGGAGCATTTCACTCAGATCTCACGTTGCCCGTTGAGACGGAGTAAGATCTGGCTCTCTAAGCGTACATACGACACAATTTACAATTACATTCTTGTTACCAGAGCTCGAAAAACTAACAAGAATCCAACCCAAGGGCAATTTCAAGCAACCATTCTTGGTTCGGCGATACGCATCACACTTTATTGCATGTGCACTCAAACAGCAGTCTTCGTCTCTCGAATAGCACGCTACAAATAGTGAACCACCGTGACCTCAAAACGCTGGGGTCCGCAGAGCCCTCGCTTCAACCTTCCCACCCCCTTTTAAAAAATTGTTTTTGTTCCCCCTGGCTAGGTGGCACAAGCTAGCGCCCATTATAAAAGGTACAGCTGTTACCATCTATGCATTCATACTTGATGCCCCTCCCCCCCCCCCTTCTCACTTCTCCGCTCTATAACTTGTTTGCGTGCATGCTTGCACGACTCGTTTGAAACTGGTTTTCAACAAATTTAGGTCGGGTAATCTCAATATTGATATTTTTAGAACCGAAGAAGAACTGATAGCACTGATGCTTTCTTTCGTCTCGATATGTACACCTTTGTTTTGTGCAACACTCAAAATAAAGCAAATTAAAGAAGACACAAGTAACGCCGCAATTAGTCGTCGATGCTCGAGAACCACTGCTTAGACCACCTGCTGCAAATGCAGAAAACCACTCACGGGTTGGGGCACTTCCAGTCGCCGTCCCGTCCGCCCATGCCTCCGTCGGGTCCTCCCCCGCGTCCTCCTCCTCCTCCTCCCCTGGGTGCACCCCGGCCTCCTCCCCGGGGGGCTCCCCTGCCCATGCCCCCTCCAAAGCCACCGGCACCTCCGAAGGGGGCCTTGCGCTGAGCCAGCTCCACGCTGATCTTGCTACCCATGAACTCCTTGCCTGCGGAGCGGGAGAGGTCAGCCCCACTTCAAGAACCCCGACCGGGCACCCACCGTGGAACCAGGTGATGGCCGAGCTGGCCGTGGGCGGGTCGTCGTACGTCACGGTCGCCTCGCCCTTGCCCTTCCCGGTTATCTTGTCCTTGTAGATCCAGATCTTGCTCTTGCCAGTCTTTTTGTCAATCTGCACACAAAATTCACCCTTCCTCGCCCTGCTGTGCAACTGCAGCCAAAGTGCCGCATCTGGTCATGCTACATCATGTCAGTATCACACGACGTGTCAAGTGACGTCGCACGACACCACCTCGCAATACAAGAAAAAAAAAAAACTAATATACCCGTACGGCACAAGAAATTCTACAAGCACGTGTAGCAAGTTCACGCGTCGTAGACGTCAGCAATCGCGAGATTCACCTTGATCAGGCCAATGGCTCCAAAGTGTTCAGCCAGGTGGTTCTCGCTGACATCCTCCGGCAAGTTGGACACAAAGATGGTGTCTGCCATCTCCTCCGAGGGCCCTAGAAAGCCGCAAGGCCCCCGGTGAACCCCACGTTCCAACGTGAGAAAACCGCCAACGGCAGTTATGCACGCAGCTAAGGACCGCCTACAGATGCCCACGCGGAAACGCTACCAACACGCTGCCAAATTTTGGCTTCTCCAATGCCGCCTACGCGCAAGCGGGAAGGAGCACCCACTGTCGAGCACACATTTCGGTGCCGACCTTCCCGACACCTCTACCGGTGCAACCACACCACCTCGCAACAGAAAACCACGACACAAAAGACCGCATGGGATAGGGGAAAGCCCATGAGCATCGTCTACTTGTCAGTAACCAACCAGGAGCCGCAAATCCCCAAAGAAGCACTTTGGGGACAAAACCATTCAAAACGCGTAATGGGGCCGACCGCACCCTAATATTTCTGCACGCACCACTTCCGAGAATGAGCTGCCCTTTTAAACCACGACCCTATACACAAGTGAGACTTGGCAGTCCAACGAACCAACGGGTAGAAGGGTACGTCGTCTCCGAAACCAATGTTAGTCCCGACCGTAGCAGACATCCACGGCGGAGAAGGGATCTCTCATTTCCCCTAATTGCAGTATTGTACCTCGGCATGTAATGCCTCGAGCAAAATGTGAGCTAAGCTGCCAACCGGGCCACCAAATAGTGGTTGGCAAATGCCACAACAGAAGCCACCTTTCTAGTCAATGCACTGCCAGAGCAAACCCCAATCACAAGTGATTGGCAGTAGGCGTTACATCACCCCAACCTTGGTCTCACCCGAGGTACCATAATGCGTTCGAAACCTTGCTCCAATATACACGTAGCGAGAATGCTCATTCACGCGCAGCAAAACTCTTCTAGCTCGCCTTAATTTAAAATGCCGCAAAGGCAGACAACTCGGATGAGCATGTTGCATACATCTTAAGGGGGACACTACCCAGAAAAAACAATTTCTTTAAAAAAAGTTGATTTTGAAATATGTCATATTTATATTCACCAACATCTAGAGAGTATTCCCAGAGAGTTTCATTAGTTTACACTTCATAGTTAATTTTTTATAAATTATTTTCGGTCCACCGATGCTAAAGAAAAGGTGGAGGTTACTTTGAACACATTTTTCTCCATTCCACTTTTTGGCATGAATTTCACTCTAGGAAAACTATCGTTTTGTTATTACGTAACCTGGATTCATTTTTACGAGTTTTCCTGGGGTGAAATTTTAAGGGGAAGATTGCTATGGGCTCGCGCTTTTTTATTTTTGTCATTTTTCAAGCTCAAGAATTAAACTTTTGGACAAAGGATGGAAATCTATAAAACAGCATTTCTGTTTCTGTGGCTATTTTGTCATGAAAGAGGGTATAATATAGAAACATAGCTCCACACCTATCTGCTCTGAACTGTCCTGAAGAAATATGACGCATGAAAATTACATATTTATAAGTAATTTCAAAACTATACAAAATTTTTTTGTACTTGACCCAGGTTAACAAAATCTGGCAGAAATGTTCTCAACATCAACAGAAACACACCCTGTAAATGTCATTTAAATCAGACAAAAGGTTCGAACATTCACTTTTTTGGGTAGTGTCCCCCTGAAGGAAATGAAAGCACAAAGCAAGTAGGGACGAAGGTAGACAAGTGCAGGCTCCGACAAAAGCCTGCACGTTCTCCCACCTCTCCTCTCGCATATATTCATTTCCAACAAAAGAGATCCGAGTAAAAAAAAGTACAAGTAGCCATCACAGTTAACTGCCTCACAACCAAAGGAAGACTTTCGCCCCATCAATGGAGCACAAAAGTGCTTGGGACATGCCCTTTCAGAATAGAGAGAAAGAGACAACAGTGAACTGTGATGCTGACTTTCAAAAAAAGAGTCATGGCAATCTTAAAGGACGCATGCAAAGGAAAAAAAACTTTTTTTTTAAACAGTCTAGATGGAAAAAGAATATTATAAAACAAATTTATAATGAAGAAAAAAAAATTGAGCTATATTTACGGCGCAAAACAAATTTGTAGTTGGCGCCAACGGGAGCCGCCGCTAGTCACGTGGTAGGCCCGCACGCCGCTGCCGCACGCTGAGCGTTGTGCGACGCTGCTTTAACGCGTTTCTCCACGTCTCCGCCGCCGCACAAGTTTGTCTACTTCGGGGCGCCGCCGCCGTCGCACAGATCTATCACGTCTGCTTGCGCTTTTTCAGGAGTTTCCTTTGGGCTCTAAAAGTTACTTATTAATTTTAGTTTTTTGTTATACTTTAAACAAAGATGAATAAGTTACTTTTAGAGGCCATAGGCAGCTTCCGAAAGAGCGCAAGCACCACGTGACAAATATGGGCCCATCACGTGATAAATAAGGGCCACTTTTCAGCGGCGCCTGCGGGCGCCAACTACTAATTTGTATAGCGCCATAAATATAGCTCTAAAAATTCTTTTTTTTTCAATGTAAAATTGTTTTATGATATCATTTTTCCATCTAAGCTGTTTAAAAAAAAACATGTTTTTTTCCTTTGCATGTGTCCTACAAGTCCAAAAATTAGCATTTTGAACCATGGCAGCCCCAAAAAAAAACAATTCCACTCTTGGCAACAATGCCACCGGAGTTTGCCGCCCCTGTACCAAATCCATCGGTTCAAAATGCAAATTTCTCAAGGAACCAAAGACAACCAACTGCTAAGGAGATTCTCCTTTCAAAAGAGGAAGAATGAAAAAAAAAAAGAAGAAAAAAAAAACACCCGCGTTGCGAGGCACTTCCAAGACTGGTTCCTTCCCAGAGCATATACTAATATTCCACAACCAAGTGAAACTGAGACATCAGTTTGCGCTACACCACCTTAAAGATCTGGCACCACGAGGCCTTGTCAAGAATGTGGAAGACCTCGGTACAGTGCATCACAATATCCAGTGTGGAAACTAGGCCAAGACCTCCTTGATGCTCCAAGCAAAACACTCACCCAAAGTAAGTATACGGTGTTTTCTCAATTGCAAAAATAAACCCCGCGCTGCCCAAAGCTCCTTTTCAGCCCAAAGGTAGCGCTAGAGGTCCAAACCAGATGCCAAAGTTTCAGCATGAGCCAATATTTTTTTCAAAAGTTATAAGCGATCTCCACAACATTTCAATGGGAAAACGGTGGCCAATGGAGCTCTAAGGCACCAGAAACCGAAAACAGGCGAGAATGGACACCATTTTCCTATCAAAATTTTTGAGAAAATTGCTTATAACTTTCGAATAAAATATTGGTTCGTGCTCAAATTTTGGCAACTGGTTCGGACATCTAGCGCTACTTTTGGGCGCAGAATGAGCATTTGGAGACGCATAGTTTTATCACCAGTAGAGAAGCTGTGTTGCAAGTTGTGCATTGTAGAAATTCCCAATTTTCTGTACTTTCTCGAGAAAGCAGGTGGCAAGTGCTCAATGCACCATCGCAAGCCCTTGGGTAGGGACTGCAAGAAATGCTATCGTAAGGCTGACACTAGTAAACCCCCATCAAATTGCACAAAAAAAAACAACAAAAAAACAGAAAGGTGTTTTACAAGGCTCGGCAGTTCGTAACCACCCACATCCAAACGTTTGTTTTCTAGAGCACCAATCTCAGCAAATGCGGGCCAACTTCAATTGAGCATTTAACAGAATTCTAAGGAATACACCAGTTCCAGTCACTGCCCATCCAACCACAATCCACATTGTGGTTTACAATCCCTTCCGGAAGTTCAAACCTATTTTGAGCAAAGTAATGACCTCCCAAACCATTTATGTAACTAACAGTTCCAAGCCAATACAACCTCTTGACACAGGAAGCTCAAAAGTTTGCTTGACTCGTTGAATCGGCAGTTAAAGGGGTAAGAATTATGAGAAACCTTTCGAACCGCTGCTTGAACGCAACCCTACTTTGAGTTGGATGTTTTCCAACTTTAATCTGCATTCACTCTCAGCAGAATTATGCTTAGCAATTACAAAATTCTTGCAAACCAAGTTGGACACTTTGAATGGTAGACACAAAGACCTCTCCAGGTTTCAGAGTAGGTGCCTTAACTTTCCCGATCCCACAAGGTCACTGACTTTCCTCAGCTATATTCATAAATACAGTCGAGCATAGTTATATCATACTCGGGCATTTCAAATTATTGATTATATTAAACAGTCCAAACATTCCCTTGAAAATCACATTATTGGAGCCTTGTCGTTTTGTAGCGAACAAAGCTGGGCCGCCCCTCTTTGCTTTTCCCGCCAAGCTAGCATACAGCACTGAAGAAACGCAGCCAAAGAGCTCTTAGGAAAGATAAGACAATGAACTGTCAAAAAAAAAAAGTGGGGGATGGCAAAAGCAAGGGCACACCAACACTGATGTTGCCCAATTCCCTAGCCCCAAAATAATATAAGCAAAAAAAAAAAAAAAAAAAAGTCTGCCAGCCCAGTGTGAGGACAACAGTTGTGCAATCGCACTTTGAACCCCTGATCTTTGTTGACCTTTTCCTTTCAAATCCTTACTTTGCCTTTTTTTTTTTTGGCTGCCTGAATTTAATGAGCTTTCTTTTGTTGCTTGCTCAACCTTTTTCTATGGAGCAAGAGACTTTTTTTAAGCAACTCACTTTTGTCTAATTCTTTTTAACTATTTTTGTGTTTTGTCAGGCGCGTGTAAGTGCGGAGGTGTTTTTGGGGTCTCCGCCAACTACGCTCTACTGTAGTTAGCGGTCCTTGAATGCTCTATTGGGTAAGCTCCTGCTTGTGGGGACTTTCAGTATTAGCAGACGCCAGGAAATTTCAACTGGAGCTTAATTTAACAGACTTTTGTATATCACATTATTGATATATCAAACTTACGATCCCATTTGAATTCTATATATCCAAGTTAGACTATAAAGCGGCAGAAAGCTCAGACCCGTAAAAAAAAGCAAAGCAGCAGCCATCTAGACTACCAGCATCTGATGTACTTGGCTGAGCATTGCAAGGCGACAAGACAAAGGGGCTGCTCCTGCAGGCTCTCGGGACACAAGTTCAATGCCTAGTACCCGCAGGCATGGGTAGGATTGCACCGACGTACGACCGTTTTAACACGACTGCATGTTTTAGAAATGGTGTCGGCGTACCGTCTTAATTGCACATCCAAAGCAAAGGCATCAAGAACATTTGCGCAACACAGCAAACCTCCAAGCAGCAGCAGCGAGTCGTTTCCCCGATTAAAAAGGACCCAGCTACCCAAGTATTTACGGGGGATTTTCAAGCCGGGTCTTGCCTTGACCACCCAAGTCTACAGTGCTCATGCTCACATTCCCTACCGTGTGCATCAATGATAGGACAGTCTCAATTTATGTACAAGCAGGAGTGTTCCGGAAGATAAAACAGTTCAATTTTCTTGTTTGTAGAGCTAAGGGGCACCCAAGATGGTTGAAAGTCGAGTCTAAATGCGTTCAGTTAATGTTACTAAATCAACCTCTCACAGGTCCCGAATTTCGATCATTTCCTTTAGATTCGCACAACGGACTGATCCTGCGACGACACATTTGCATGTTGTCCACCTCCCAAACAGAGGCACGACGAGGAGGACGGACCGAACATCTCCGGGAACCCCGCTACAAAATGCCAACAACACACTGCAACACTGTTGTGCTGTATGCTGTATGCTTCGCTTTGGCTGCTGCAATATCGCGTTGTGACCAACAATTTCTGCGTGCCACCGTTACATTCAGAGCGAAGGGGAACACTGCGATTGGCTTAGCACCGCTAGTTCTACTAACCCAAGGCCAGGCAAGTATAGCCCCGCTCGAGGAGGCGTTTGAAGATTCTCTTGTGCCCTCATGCGCAAATCTTCGGTACACCACAGCCGCAAAAAAAGCCGGATGATGCAGGAAAGACCGCGGCATGCTAGATGACTCTTGACGGAGCCACGTTCCCACAGCTTTATTGGGCAATAAAATGAAAACACCACGATCCACTATCTTTGGTTTGCTCCTAAAGAAAAAAAAACCTCTTTTCGTGTCAACTCCCTGCCAAAAATCAGCGAGTGAAGAGGCGCTCAGCTATTGCAGTCCATGGATCACTCAGATCGGAGGAATCAGTGACGTGATCGCGGCCCGATTTGGCACCAAGGTTTGCAGACCCCTAGGCTCCTAGTGAACCTTCTCGCGAGCAGACCTTTGAATTTCTGGCAGCACTATCTTGGGAGGTTCAAAGAAGCAACCTCTCGTCTCAATATCAGGCCATCTCCAAAAGCACTAAACCACGCACCATTAAAAAAACGAGTATTCACAATTCGAATTGCTTAACACGTCCCGGCGTCCCCTCGGAACACTTGGGAAACGTCTCAACACACGCAATGCACACCGCAGGGACCCAAAGATTGAAAGAGTGGCAGCGTAATCGCGCGTGAACACACCTTGTCAACAACCAGTCTTGAGAGTGCCTCGCAACACACCAAAGAACAAAAGAAAGGGAAGAAACGCAGCAAAAATATAACACCATATCCTAGATAAACAAAAAAAGAGGGCAAGCAGTAAAAAAAAAAAAAGTTTCGAAACCTCTTGGAAAGAGGAGGCACGAAGAGAGGCCCTTATACATAGTATGTAATAGAACGCAAAGCAACACCGTGGGGTGAAGCTGTTACCTTTGTTGTAACTTCCCCTTCCACCGGGACCACCTTGATTACTAGAGTGCGAAGCAGACATGGTATTGTTAGGCCTCCCTCCTCGCAACACAGGGGCCACTGCGCTCGCCCAAGGGCGTGTTGTTCCCCCGTCTCTCCTCCGGGGACACACACACACACCGGGAGAGAAAGAGACACACACTGCGAGGCCCCCACCACCAGAGGGCATTCTCGTGGACCACCCAGGGTTCCACACCCTCGTTAGGTTACCAAAACAACGGTCAAGACACGCTCCAGTCGGAGCTTCTACGTGCAAACTAAAACCCAACAGAGGCGAGCCTCCTTAGACCTCTTAACCATGCGCGGGTGGACACAGACGACAGCGAGACACTCCGAGCTTAAACTCACCCTTCAAATGATCTTCGAGTAGCGCAATACAACATAATGTACACACAAACACCCTCCCCAGATATTCTTCCCCCGCTATCGCGACGTGGACATGCATAGCCAAGCGACGCTCGAGATCGCTCCCAGCCCTTCTTTTGGTCCGAGGCTTTGCTCAGAGACAACCTCAAGTAAAGAAAGGAGAATGACTAAGGGACAAGTAGAGAGAGAGAGAGGACATACCCGAATCCGCCGCCCCTTCCGCCGCTCATGCGGTCACCACCATACATGCCAGGGCCTCCTGCACAATCCCAAAAGTGACCCCTTTAAAAGCGGTCCTTGGAACGGAACTCCATTACGAAAAGAAACAGATATGCGTCAGCAGTCAACCAATTCATTGCAGTGACAAAACCTTTGCATTGTTACGAGTTTACTCTCTGTCCACTGAGGATTACCAGCCTATGAGGGGTGAGCTACAAATCATCCCTACAAAATGCAATCCAAACATATCCTCCGTGTGGTTCAAAACCATGCTAGTTGGAAAGCAAGATCTCAGAACCAGACAATTAAAACCAAAACAGGCAGAGATTCTCTGCTACCATTCTGAACAGTTTCTAAGAACAATTTCTAAGGCACTAAAAACCGTTAAAAAATGTACACAGAAGGGTCTAAGCAAGACCCACAAGAGTCTATGTAAGGTCTACAACAGGCCAAGGGTTGTATCCTGCTAAATAGCTCCCACAGCAGACTAAGCAAGTTTGTAAGCAAGACCCAAAAGAGTGTAGGCAAAAGTCTACTCTGCAAGACGGTACATGCAGGGCCAACAAAAGAGGGAGCCCACCTTGGCCGCCACCACCTCCGTATCCTCCTCCACCTCCTCCGGGTCCCCCGTAGCCCCCAGATGGGGGAGCCCCGTAGCCGCCTCCTCCTCCCCCGACAGGGGGTCCCTGGTGCGGGGTGGGCAGGGTCCCCACTCCCCCCGGGGGGCCCCCTCCCCCCCTAGAGTAGTCCCCAGCCCCGTAGGGCTGGGCGCCCGGCTGCTGCTGAGGGGGCGGAGCCCCCTGGCCGTAGCCGCCCTGCTGCTGAGGGGGCGGGGCCACGGGGGCCGGGGCCTGCACACACGCACCCACCGCTTTCCTCACGCACCTCGCCCAAAATGCCTCCACTGTGCACACTTCCGCTCAGTGGCTAGAACATTAGCTGCACAACATGGTAGAAACACTCCGCCCTAGAACTGCCAAGTCAGCCAAAACAGCTTTCTGCAACAAAGTACCGGCCTGCACTCTCAAAGGGATGATGCAACGAGTTTTCAGACAACCTAAATGCCCCATGCAAGATCGCTTTCAAGAAATAATAGAAAGCCATATCAGCAAACTAAGTTAGGGGGTATGGAATTGCCACACTCTCCAAAGGATTAGAAATGTTTGACTCTGTGAATTGAGAATGAAAGAAGCTGTGCACATGAAAAAATTCAATCGACCACCAAAAGTGTGCAGTACAAAAAGAGCTAGATATTGCACCCACTAAGCAAGTTGCTACTGTGCCCTTGATCACCAGACTTGATAAGGTGGCTATTGCAATATTTCCAGACTTCTCTAAATTATTCGGCAGAAACCAGATGGAATAAACGAAAAAATAAGGCATCCTTTTTACAGAGTAAACCGTCGCTTTCCTCTTCACAGCACAAGTAGAGCAAATCCTCTTGAGAAGAAATGATGAAGCACAGACCACATTTAGAGCCCCATCTACGCTCGGATTCTGAGCACGCAGAGAGCATGTTCAGTCACCCGCCAGACTGTGAAGCAGAAGTGTGATAAGGGCTTCACCATTCCCCTCCTGAAAATCCCGCTACTCATTTAGGACATTCATGCTTTGTCCTCACAAATGATGCCTCACTTTCAAAGAAATATACCAGCTTCAGTATTTCCCAGTAAGTCTCATCTGCACTGCATTATAGATAAGGAAGTGGCATACTCGAAACATGTCAGCAAGCGAGGCACTTTATATTTTCCAGCTAAAATTCCCGACAACAATTTGCGAGGCAGAAAAAGCAAGCAGCTACGAGAGTTGCCACATGAAAACAATATGCCAGTGGGCCTCAGGAAAGTACAAAGTCAGGAGCACTGCACAAAAGCTTGTCCGACAAAGGGTCTGAGAAGCGCCTTGTCGGCAGGCAGCGTCACACTAGTGTATGGAATTTGCAAAAAATATCTAGTCTCTGCTAAAAACAAACAAACAAGCTCTATTTTCTTGAAAATAAACACAGTTAAAAAAAGGAACTGTACAAGGACGTAGCAAGGACTGCTTAAACACCAAGTTATTAGTGCGGAGAATAATCGGGAACTGTTTAAGAGTCTCCAGGGGATGCATTTGCTTCGAGGAAATGACCTCTCGCCCAAATGAGGACAAGAGCGGTCCAGACCCTCTCTCTCAACCAGCCTTGGCACAATTGCTATCTCCCAAGTCCCGCAGCAATGGTGCTGAAGAGGCGGGCAGAAAGAGGGGAGCGCACCTGTGCCTGCCCGTAGGGTGCTGCGCCGTAGCCCCCGTAGGGAGCCGCGGCCGTGGCCCCCGCATACTGGTGGGGCGCCGCCTGCTGCTGGGGCAGGGGGGCCGCCCCGTAGGCCCCCTGGGCCCCTGCGGGGGGGGCCTGCTGGGGCTGGGCCCCGTACGCCCCCACGGCCGGCTGGGCCGCCGCCCCGTAGGCGCCCGGCGGGTAGGCCGCCGCCGCGTTGCCCGCCGCTGGGGGCGCCGCCTGCTGCGCGGGGGGGGCCCCGTACGCCCCGTACGAGCCACCCTGCCCTGCAAGGGGGACCGCCTCAGCCCTTTCTGCCCTGGGGCCTCACTCCCAGCTATTCTATTCAACCACGAGCGAGAGAACACTAAAAACCTTTGTTTTGTGGGACATTGGTGGGACCAGCAGCCATGAATGCAACCAAGCTCAACCGCACCACAACAGACCACCCTGGCCTTGCAACACTGACCGACACTGCAATTACGTACCGAACTGTGCTCCCCAGCTTCCAACTGGCAAACATTTTCTACCAGCATTGGCAGTGTCAACATCACAGGGCACAATGTTTAATCTTCCCGGAAAATCCAGCACCAACACTGTCAGTTACTGAAGTCACACAAATGGGGGGATAAGAAACTCACATGCATGGTGTGCTCAGGTAATTACTTTCTCACCGTAACCTTCTTAACAACAGAAGTAAATTCACCTTCCAAAGTGGTGTAACAACTTGACGTGCCCATACCTGAGCTTCGTCGTATCTACAAGTAAAGCTGCACATGTTCTGTGGCAACGCAGACATACGTTGAGACACCAAGGGAACATACCACATTGCTCATACAATATATACAACACACCCAAGCCTCATCTAGTCGTCAGAGCAAGACTTCAATCAGATCCCAATGCTTAACAACTGCAAAGGCTTTGTCACTGCACCATGTACACCAAGATTGATACTCTATTATTATCATACTACAAGTTAAATTGGGCAGGATACACGAGAGGCCAGTCATCATCACCCCCAGAACGATACATAGAGCTAAGTTAATCACACATACCATAAACTCCACACAGGGCCACCAATTGTTTCTATTCGTAACGTTTCTCTCGTGCCCCATTACGGTTCCTACCGTTGACGTCATGTCGCACTTAAAAACCACGGTGGAAGCTTCGAGTAGTAACATTTTCAAACCCGTACATGAGAGCATTCTTTAACCATAAGCAGAACTATTTTTATTATCATAGTGAGGGTTTGGTCAATCGTGAAGACCACAGCTATGCTTTCGGTGCTGCACGTCACCTATATTATTAAAAACCCCAAAACTGCAGGCTTGGAAAGTCTGCACCGCAGAGCTGCCTAAAAGAACTTCCGGAAAAAAAAAAAATTCTTCCCTACACACCCACACCTCAAACACCCAGAGGTCCTGGCGAGCGTCTGTCTTATAATCCTAAATATATCAGTGAAGCTGACAACCAAAACCTAGTGTGTGTACTACAGAAGAGGAAGATGGGACAATTTTTCTTTTACAGCAGGCCTGCCATAAACCCACGCAGTTTGGCTGCCTCGTAGCAGCAAAGCATGGCCAGACATTGGGGGTCACGACGAGCCCTATTGAGGTTTTAATGAACTCAAAGCTGCAAAATATTGCTTCAAAGCACAGCACCTTCAAACTTTCTTGCAGAAAAATACAGATGGTGCGCAGTTCTACCACAGTTCATCCCAAGTCACTTCATCCCACACACATCATACCAAAGTCATTTCATTTCAAGATGTTTCACCCGAAGACAGTTTATCCCATGGATGATCCATACCATGACATTTTTATTTATTTATTTATTTAAAGAATACTGCGGCTCACATCTGTGAGCCATAGCAGGGGTGGTTACATAATGGCATGATGTAATATACTTATGAGCACTTTCACGTGGCGGAAGCGATTGCTTCAACAAAAATATCAAGTGATGGGAGGGTGACTATTTCATTCGTCAAAGAATTCCATTCACTGATTGCCCGAGGAAAAAAAGAATATTTGAAGACAACGTGCTTAAGAGGATATTGTTTAATGGCCCTAGTATGGTTCAGTCTAGCTGATCCGCTTGATGAAAATTGTATGTATCTATCACTACTGACATTAAAGACATTTGATGTCAGAATAGTCCATACATTTTAGCCGATTCAAGGGCCACTTACTTCAACCCAAGACTGTTCATCCCGGACACTTTCTGCCAGAAACGTTTCATCCCGAAACGTCTCTGCCTAACACGTTTCATACCAAGGACACTCAATACCTGGATATTTTATACCACAAAGTCTTCTGTCTAGAAGTTATAAAATCGGTTTGCACGCACAGAGCCGACATATGCACTTTGTCTTTCCTATATTGTCGTGCCGCATAAGGCCGTCCTGCACTTGTCATCGAGAATCCACCAGTCAAACAATCCGGGTTTGTTTATACAGATACTCATGTTTACAAACAAACCGGAGCGCCGCTAGCGGACGCCACCGGCGCAACGCATGCGCGATGGGGGTGTGGGCAAGAAGCTCGCCGTCGCCCATAAACAAACCATTGAAATGTGATGTTGTCGGCGTCGGTGTGAGTCCCCCTGCCCTTTTTCGCGTTCGAATTGTTGATTCTACGTCTTCCCGGCGATGTCCGAGTATCTTGAGCGGCAACAGCAAAATTAACGAGGCTCGTTACACTGCAAAACTTCGCGTGAATAATGTGACATGCGGCGATTCATTCCGCATCGACGCCGCAGTATGTACGCTAAAAGCTGATTCGCATGATGAGATTTCAGTCGCAATTTTCAGTCGCGACGCCACTCGGGCTGCAAAAGTGTGAACCGTAGCTGAGGTGGTCGACGTCGATACTGAAAATCGCAAGCAGAATTGAACCAAGTCAATTAGGCATAACAAGTCAGTGATGGTCACTGGTAACAATGATCAACATCTCCTTGTAGCTACTGTTTACATCGAGCCTGCTTACCAACCTTCAAACTTAGGTATTTTGGGGCCTGCACTTACTTCTTGTCGCAAGTACTGGGCCAACATTTAGTCTACGGGCCGTCGTCGTCTAAGAGAGCAGACGACAAGCAGAAACGTTTGAAAGAGCAGACGACAGTTCGAACAATCAGGCGGCCGTTTTAACTTGAAGACGCATTGAATGTAGCTCGCAGGTGGTCCGCACAACTTAACGGTTTTCTGGCGTTCATGTTGGAACAAAACAAATAAATCTGATGACCACAAGTATCCATGAATTCAACCCAAAGTGCTTCCCGCCCAAGCGATCGTTGTGCGACGGTGTCTGTTTTTTTCTTTTTCACGGCGCATATCCAGATTCTCAGACGAACCGAGCACGTGAAAACTGACCTTCAAACCTTTCGACTCTTTTGTACAGCCCCAGTCCCGACGTTTTGACGAGAAGGCAGGTTTTTGTCTGCTTCCTTTCAAAACAACACAGGAATACACGTCTGGCATGGGGACTTCTGCCCACAGCCCCAGACCGGAAGTGCGCCCGACACGCCACCACCGCGCCGTGACTTCACAGAGTTGAGTTGGTGTATAGAACATGGCTACTTTTGTGGCTGCTCGCCGAAGCTCTGCTTCGAAGGTTACAGGTACACCAAGCACAAGACCGACAACGAGAAGACAGCATGGAGATGCGAGAAATTCCAGGAGGGTCGCTGGGGACGAGCTGTTACTGCAGGTGAGACGACCACTGTGACACATGGCCACACTTGCCGTCTACCGAGTCCAGAAAATGTTGTTGTGGCGCGTTTATAATATGAGATCAAAACTACAGTCAAGCGTTCCCACAACACCCCTGAGAACATCATGGCCGCCTGCCTACAAGGGACAAGACTGGCGACTATCGCAAAGCTCCCTAGGCTGTCATCACTGGAAAGTAAAGAGAGTTGAATTCGAAGCCCATGTCACAGATCAAGTTCCCCACCAAATCCAAGACATAATTGTACCAGAACACCTGTGTATGACAAGAACAGTGTCACCTGAAGTCTTTCTCACAGGGGACACAGGCTGTATTGACAAGAATAATTCTCGCCTATAACACGGGACATGTGCAGCTTCAACACCTGCGCAACCCGGTAGTGCGGCTGCACATTTCGAGTAGCACCAGAGATGTACTACGGGCTTTTGATTGTTCATGGCCTCTACAAAAGCAGGGTGTGCTTCTCCTTGTTCACTGCCTCTTGGCAAACAAGCGCGAAGCAATATATAAAGGAGCAATGCACATGCTACTTGAGGTTATTTACAATGCAAGCCCACGACAGCGCGAAGCAACATATAAAGGAGCAATGCACATGCTACTTGAGGTTATTAACAATGCAAGCCCACGACAGGTGCACACAGTAGTGACGGACTTGGAAAAGGCTGAAGAAAATGCTTTTCGGAAATGTATTCCTGATGTCGAGATGCATGGGTGCTTACTCCATTTCGCGCAAAGCATCTGGCACCGAATTCAAGAGCTCGGCATGCAAGCGTGATTCGTTGATGACTCCAGCTACCACCTCATTCTGAAGAAATTCATCGCACTGTGCAATGTTTTCGACGTCTGCGATAGATATTGCATGCTTGCAAGACAGCTGCTGGGCTTGTCTGGACGCACAGAACAGCACCGAGACCTCCTAGACTACTTTATGAATACGTCGGTCGACCCCAGAAGGACCCTAGATCCATGTGGAATTGGAGGCGCGTGACAGGGCTCAGCTTTCCCAGAACTAACAGCGTTGAAGGCTGGCACCAGTTATTTCAAAATTCTACCGGTGCATCCCATCCTACAGTATTCAAGTTGTTGGATGCGCTTCTCTTCGAACAAGTCTGAGTGAACGTGATGGCCAACCAGCTCGACGTGGGTCATGAGCCGCCACTATACACGAAGGAGTATGTGCAATCCAACAAGCATCTATGCCAAATTCTGGATTACTATAACAACAGACGCAGACAGCTTTCTCAATGCGTGCTCGTGCTATGTACTTGGCGATTCTTTGGTGTATTAGCCACAATTGCGTGCTCTGGGGACTGTATCAGCCTGAATTGTGTGCTCTGAAGGGCGCAGTGGCCCCAATTTTGGCCTCTGAAGGTGTGTTAAGGTTTTGCTCTTATGGGTGGGTTATTATAAAATAAACGCTATAAATTTTCATATTTCTGGTCAATGTCATCTTGGCACGATACCTTTCGGCCAGTTTTCAAGCGACATCAATCCCCAGTACTGCGGTTCGTTGCGGTATACAGCTTTCGTAACAAGTAAATCTGACCATTACAGCAGCACTGCAAATAGAGATTGAAGTAAGTGAATGAATGAGAGGGGAGAATAGAAAAAGTGAAGAAAGGCTCCAAGTGGAATGGGCCAACTTTCGCTGAAGTCCAGTACCCAGCCGTCTGTGGGCACTCCTATGCAAACCCCAAAATGACGTTCATTTAAGGGCCGCAGCCGATGAAATGCGACCTATTTTACATGCGCACAACTTTGATGGTGTGCAAATAGCAGCAAGATTTCTTCTTGCTCGAGCTCAGCAACCCACTCGGGGGTGCCCCAAACTATTAAGGTATGAAAAGCCTGGGTATTTCATGCCACTGGCATGAAATGACTTTGGTATGAAGTGACCGGGATGAACATTCCTGGGATGAAGTATCCGGGAATGAAGTGTGGCAGAGCCACTCCAAAGTAGGAAATACCCTGGCATGTAATGTACATGGGATGAAACATCGTTGGTATAAAGTGTCTGTAATAAAGTGTCCTGGGGTAAACTAAATGGTATATCGACAAGCAAATGTATAATTTCATTGTATTGTGGCAAAACCTGTCACCTGTTAGCCACCGGGGTGCACCAATGCAGGTGCTTACAATCCGCCATGTTTTGCTAGCATCCACACCATCCGACCGGGCCACGCAGATGAAATCTTTGCTCACCCTGGGAGTAGGAGTTTGGCTGCTGGTAGCTCGAGTAGGACTGGCTCTGCTGGCCGTACTGGTCCTGACCGTAGCCGGTGGCGGCGGGCGTAGTCGTCGCATTGTTGCTGCCACCCCAGCTGGGCTGTTGGGACTGCTGCTGCGGCTGCTGCTGCTGCAGGGCAAGCAACACTCAGGCGGGGGGCCCCATCCATTGAAAAGAGAGCACTACAACCCCAGTTGATGCCGTTAGACACCATTTAGCTGTGAATGCAGTGTCTCCAGCGAACTGTGAAGTGATGCAATATTTACGCGAGAGAAAGGAAGCTGTGAATGCAGCGAAAATATTATAGAGCAACGTAATATTTATGCTGCGAGACACAATTTAAATGGAGCTGCAAATGCAGCGTAATATGTACGCAGAGCGCTTGGACAAAAGGCTCGTTCGATTTACCTGCACCAGTGCAAAAAAGCGTTATCTCAATAAGCGTACCGACAGTACACACTTCTCTGTGAAAGAGTATGTGCTTGGGCTAGTTGCTGATTCATAGTTGAGGGTGAAAGTGCTAAAAAACAATGGATAAGTGAAAGAGACTAACACCGAAAAGCGCTACTTGCAACTAAAGTTACCTCGTGGAAAAACGCACATACACACGCCGTTAAGTCAAGACATGCGACAAGACATGACAGAAATGAGACATCATCAAACCGACGCTTATCTATATGCTATTAACTTTTCGAAAGATTTTAAAACCGCCACCTCAGAGCCAAACGGGACTATCGATGGAGCGCCAACAGACGTGCCTTCAACGCACTCCGATATGAAGAAAGCTTGGGATATCTCCCTCGTCATTTTGTTTCGGTTACTGGCTAAGATAATGGTGTTGTCGAACTTCGGGGCACACCAACATTTGTTACAGTGTACTGCCAGATTTCCCAAGTCTGACCATCTTACTGACAATGCATGCTTCCTGAGTGTCATTTATACCAGGACCCGATTGGCCCATGAATACTCTGCCAGATAATAAATCAATCATGTATACCACACCTTTGCTGCACTACACAAACGTGGTCTTGTTTCTTCTGACATACTCCAAGCTCCCCTCATCCCACTTTTCCACATAGTGTGGCCCATTTTTGAGGAGCTGGAGTAATACAGAAACTCCATGTTTTCGCCCCACTTTATTCTGTGACTCACCTTACGCACATAAGGTATCCCAACCGATCTATGCCTTGGCTTCTTTCTCCACCACCACACCCTCCCCAAAGCTTTTTTAGCAGGCCTTCTGCCACCCCCACAAGAAACGTAGGTGGGAAGCATCCCTTCTAGTTTTTCTAACTGTAACCTAAAGCTATCCCCTATCCTATGTGGCCAGCACTTTAAGGAAGCCAAAAGGCACGTAGAGGCATTGCCCCTCTTAGTTATGTATGAGTAATTGGAATTAAAGGGTAACACCCCTTCCTTAGCCCTAGGGCAATAAAACCAAGACACGAGAATGCCAAAGTAAAATCTCAAGATCTATAAACTGTCAGGCGCCATCTCCGGGACTTTCACTGGTGAAACTGAGCCCGGAATAAGGTCCTTAAACAATTCTTGAAATGAAGCCTTCTCTGTGAGAACTTTCCTTCAAATTAAAAAAACACCGGGTAATCGTCTACGTACCTAAAAACGCAAATGACTTCCTCATACAACCGGCTTTCAATGTCCCTCTCACACTTAGCTAAAAACAAGTTGATCAGCACGGGCGCCACGCTCGTCCCAATGCACACACCCTCCTTCTGTACCAGCTTTACTCTTTCAAAAACCACATTGATGGAGCCCAGATACAAGCGTAACAATTCTAAAAAAAAAAAAAAGCCTTATGCACACCACACTCAATCTTAAACTGTAGAACTCCAAATGTTTTAATAACTTTTCTGACAGCTTCAAGAAGTCCTTCATGTGGGATAGAATAAAGAACTTCGTTGTTGAAGGAAACCGCGTCACAAGTACCGGGATTTGAACCTTTCAGATATTCCGCCACTCTCGAAATTACTGACCGCAAAAGGATCAGGGAAATGGAGCTGCGACAGGAGTTGTTGAAGGTATGACAACACCGGTGTTCCTTCATATCGGAGTGCGTCGAAGGCATGTGTGTCATCGCTCCATCTATGGCTCCCGAGGCGGCGTTTTTAAAATCTTTCGAAAAGTAGATAGCTGACAGATGAGCGTTGGTTCGATGATGGCGCATTTGTGTCATCACGTATCTCGATTTCAGTGTGCATATATGTGTTTTTCCATGAGTAAACCTCTTCACTTGCATGTAGCGCTCAGTGGTGTCGGCCCATTTCACTCGTCCATTGTTGTTGTTTTTTTTTAACGCTTTTACTTTCTGAACACGCTTTTCTGCACAGGTGCAGATAGATCAAACAAGCTTAAAGCAGCAAGTGCCTGGCACCCACAGAAATATGCGGTAATCCAATGTTTACGCCATGAGACGATTTAGACAAAGCTGTCAATGCAGCATATCTACAGAAATGTGGAGTAACATGCTATTTATGCCGCGAGACATTTTCAGGTGGAGTTGCCCCAAAACCAGTTGTTTCTGCAGAAAATACACCGTCCAGAAGACCTACACGCGAGAACAGCATGAAGCGTGCGCGGCAACCCGGCGACGGAGCGAGGGTCCTTACCGGGTACCCTGTCGTGGACTGGGTGTAGCTCGTCTGCGAGTAGCTCTGGTCCACGCTTCCGTAGTTGCCATAGCTGCCATACCTAGAAAGCAATCAAACCCTCACTTTCGAGGGTCCATCACCTGCGGAACACGCGCGACTAGCTCGTCTGCCGGCACGCGCAGCTCTCGGAAAGTGCGTGCAAATCGTACCACAACAAGCGGTCGCCCCTTCGACGTGCCACCCTAGCCTTTTATACTACAATTAAAGCTTGTTGTTGGCCTGGTTGGTTCGTGATGCAGTCTAGAGGTTTTTTGCACGACACAAGGGACAATCTCAAGCGAGTAGACACGGACAAAGCGTTTTATACTACAGTTTGTGGGTTGAAATAAAAAGGCCCAATTTAGTCAACATTCCCCAATGTACTGCAAACCTCTCTCCAGAAAACAAAAGAAAAGAGATGGGCATTTGAATACCATACATTCCAGCCTACAAGTGACACCACCCCCCATAAACGTTTGTGGATACTGAGCCCATGCATATGTATTGTGATCATGATACACGAGCAGGCGAGAGCTGGTTTCAATATTCTCGCAGCCGAATCCAACGAGAGATCCAACCCCTTCGGCCCACCTCTCGCACAGTTAAGGCACGTTCACACACTCGCAACCGAGTACGACCAAGTGAGAGAAGACCTGCTGAAACCTTTTCAAATTTCTTAGGACGAGAGAACACACTAGCACAATGGCGCCATTGCTGCAGTGACCCTGGAACTGCATTTCACAAGAGCGAAGGTTATGAGTGATTTCGGAAATCAAATGTACGTAATAGCTATGAGAAAGGCTCGTTTATGACGTTGGCAAAACATTTTCAAGCTAAGAAAGAAAGGATAATGCGCGAGAGAAATAGAAAGTATGTCGGACCACCAAGTTTACGCTGATACCGAAAAGACGGCGCCAGTGCGTCCTCTCTTCGTAAGAGATATTAAGAGGTTCCAAGGCACTCGGTTCAAAGAGGTCGCATGTGTGTATACAAACCTTTAAATCTGCATTTCAAAAAAAAAAAAAAAAAAAAACTTTAAAGTTACTGTTGTAGTGATGTCTCTCCAAATGAACCTCCGTTCCCCAAGATATAGCCCATAATGCAAGCTTCAACGAGACGAAAAGCACGCAATACCCACTTCGTCCCCCCAAACTTTATCCATTTAGTGGGCTGTTCGTAGAGTCCACATTAAAAAGACCACAAAGCCAATTTCATTTTTTTTTAAATGCGTTTTCGGATGCATTACAATCCAGCATGTCACTCAGTCTTATTTTATTTTTTTCTGCTCAAGACTTATTTTTGTGCCTCCAAAAAAATTTTATAAACCAAAACAAACATTTGGACGGTACGTCGTGAAGCACTGTCGGTGTCGGTAGGATTTGGTGGATGCTCAGCGCGGTTCCTGCGGTTGGTTTTAGTGGACGGTGGTCTGTGAACTGGAAATATGGACGACAATGCCGCGCTCGATGACGAGTTGCTCCCAATCAGCGACCTCACACTGATGGAACTAAAGATGCTCCTCAGGACGCGAAACTCGGAATTAGAGCTTTACAAGGGCGCCCCAGACTTGCCAATGAAACCTCGGTCGCCACCTCGGAGCAAGCGACTTTCCCGGCTCTCCGCCACAACGCCAATAAGCACGTCGTTCGTCTGACCCAATCACCCGACAAGGAGCTCGTTGTCGTCGTGCTTCGACAGCGCGCAGCTCTTTAGTTCACGTTTCTGCCGCCATATTGGGCGGGTCTCCGGCATCGTTCTTGGCACAATTATTAGCATAACCATTTAATCTATTAATGCGGCACCCGAACGCGCGTTCTGACTAGAACTTGGTCAACAGTGCCCGAGACGTGCCTGATGCCTATTTCAATAGAAAGATAACACTTCCAAATTGCCTTCATGGTCTCTTTAATGAGACATGACTGTTAAAAAACATGCCCATAGAAATTTTGGGAAGAAATACCCCATATACGCTGGAAAATATGGCAGCTCGTAATGCTCAGACAAGAAAACTACCGAGGCAACGGCCGGCGCAGACTGCAACAACCTTTGCTGTGCTGTCAGAGTTGGGTCCAATCAAGACACCACTTACCCAGTTGACGCAGGTTGGGAGCTCCCGTAGCTCCCGTATTCTGAAACAACGAGAATGGTGCGCATTTTACCACCGGGTGGAAATATTGGGGCATTGTTACGTGTCTAAGGTAAAAAGGAAACTGCTCGAATTCAAACCGCCCTTTCAAACATACACAACATACAATGGCATGCACAGTATGGATTAAAGTCACAATGTAGGCGAGTTGGTTCAAGGTACAATCAGAAATAAACAGCGCGCAAAAAATATGGACAAGGACAAAAGGGAAGATGCAAACGACACAAGCGCTGGACTCTCAACTAAACGTTGATTAAAAAAACACCAACAAAGTAAGTCGCACCATCGCTTCAGCATATGTCAAGAAATTGCTTTTTTACACCGGAGCTGTTAAGGGCTAGTTTCCCCAAGATCGTGTCCCCTGCATGAAATGAAGACACCGACCTCTGGACACCTACCGCCATCTATGAGCGACGGCAGCCAGCTATGTATCTGGCTGCCGCCGTCGCTCATAGATGGTGGCAGCCTTTCCACTCTGGCTCGCTGGCTTGCGGCCGGCGCTTACTTTCCATTGTACAGCTCCGCTGGTCTTCCTCCTTCACCAGAGTGGGAAGGCTGAAAATTTTTGTGTAGAAAAACCGATGTTTGGCTGACACATCCATCTTGCCCCTTTTGCTTACCGCATACGCTTCCAACAATTCTCTGGTGGTTTTATCCGTGCCCCTCCTGGTGATGTTGAATTTGGGCTGGCATTTACCAGCAGCACGATGCAGAGGCACGTAATTCCAGCAGTCGACCAGAGTGACCAGTCATGTTCACGGGCTCTGTCATTAACACATCGGCCAGCTTGGCCGATGTACACTCATTCTCAGCTTAGTAAGACCTTCTATACCGCACCGGCCAGACAATCAACATACTTGTTCCTGTGCTTTAGGGCACACTGCCTCTTTCCCCCAGCCATTTCCGCAATTCTAGGGCAGAGTTGCGCCAACTTTCGAGGTACCGAAAACAGTGGGAACGTCAAACCGCCCGGCTACCCTTTTTAAATTGTGCGTGCCAGAGGCCTTTTAATATTGCTCCTCTGGCCGCCGTCCCCCGTCTAGAGAAGATGACGATATCTATAGTTTTCTTTGCCCCACTAAAAGGTTTCCTTCAATCTCCAAGGTGGAAAATTAAATCATAGCCAAATATTTATATGATCTCCACAACATGAGGTGATCACCTTTTTGTCTAATTCAAAAGTGCGCTTGCAGACCCCGAACGTGTTTACGAAGCCGTACAGAACCTAGGAACTGTCCATATGACGAGCTAACCACGCAGGCCTTCAACCTCAGCCATATCAACGTATGGTCGGAGCACACGACAACAAAGCGTTAAACTGAAATGACTCCGGCACAAACAAAATTCCCTTCTCCAATGCACAAAATGGCGGCGGAAGTGCGCGGTAGGGCCGGCAAAGTGACACGCCATTTCGTCCCACGAGGACAGCGACAACGTGTCGCGCCCACTGGATCACTTTTCGTTGATCTGCCTTACTGCGATCACATGAGAGCAGAAAATAAATGTGCCGACGAACGATGCGATGCTATATATTCGTTTCATCGGCAGAGGTGATGTGGATGTTAGGCCTAACTCGCCGGCTGCTGACAAGCCACACAGGGTTTATCGAACCGACCATGTTCCATTCCAGGATCCATGGCCAAAATTGTTTTTCTTCTGAGACACCGAAAATATACTTACGCGTTGTGTCCGTCATTTTGTGCGAATATTCTGCGTACAGACGATGTCAATCCCTAAATACGGGCACGAACTCCGCCGACTACAAGAACACAAGACGCAAACGCGAAGATGGCGACCCGAAATCGTCGCCTCTATCTTCGACGTGCCAATGTTTGCGATCACTTGAACACCTCGTCAGCTTTCCTGTGGCGCTGTAAACTAGTCAATATTTGTGGAAATATTTTATAACTGAGAAACACAGCTTTAAAAAATATATAAGCCGTAAACTCAAATATTATATCTTACATATATGCCTGTATTTCTGCAGTCGTCATTGATGAAGACGCTCAAATATAAGAGTGAAGAGGGAGTTACAAACAACTGAGCATCATCATCATCAGTCCTGATATTGGCTGTTTGTGTCATTTCCGCCCATTAGACTCTTCCAGAAAGAGTGTCCGCGGTGCTCGTCCGTGTGCCCTTGCCTTGTGGAGTGAGGTCGGTCAGTCTTTGATCCTAGTCCTTTTAGCGACCTTTTGAGCGTATACTCATCCCTGCCGCAAACAAGAATGGCCCGTCAAAGGAGAGCAGCTTCCCCAGGGTACGTAAGACGAAGCATTTCCCTCTTTCCTCTCGGCGTGATTGCGACCTCACCGATGGCCCACGCGTTGCGTGATCAAATCTCCACCGGTCTCTAAGGAGTTGATTGATTTCGAGTATTCTCTCGTGATAATCTCGTACAGGCAGCTTAGAAGCTGATCCCTCGGTGCGTGTGGCGCTGTTAATTCGCTCCATTAGCTCTCGTGGTGGTTCCTATTAATTGTATGGCGGACGCGGTGGTTCCTGAGATCCTGTTACGCAATCAGGTTCTATTAATTGTATGGCGGACGCCGTTGTTTAAATAAAGAATACTAAAGTGCGCATCGAGATGTGACCTATGCTAAACGATGACGCACCTGGCGACACGCGTCATAGACATGCAGGTGATGCAATGCTTTGAAAAGGTCCCGTGGCGTCAACAAGCGAGGTAATAATGCGGCCGATGGTTCGGCTCCGTCACCTCGCCGATGCGGGCTTTCGAATGCGTACGATAAGTTGTCCAATATTCAGTCCGAGGTAAATGCTACCTGGATTCTTGTTGCGCAGCAGCTCGTTATACAAGATTCCAGTGTTCAAAGACATCAAACGCCTGGCGCACCCAACATCTACGACCACTTTTTCCTGCCACTTTGGATGTGGCCCGTTATTTTGAGATTTTTTGAGTCGGCTTGAGAATTTGAGCCGTACTGTAAGTAAGTCCTAGTTAGAAATTCTTACCGTCCAATTGCAATCTCCAGTCGCTTTTAGCTGAATGAACATTTAAGCTGAATCAAGGTGACACCCACCAACATACGTTAGTCCGATCGCTGAGCACCCCATGTTAGTGGTCGTACTGCTTTGCCCGCCCTTTTACACTTGCAGGAAGACTGGCCTCATGCTGCGTAGACGTCTGCAGCGTGTGCGACGTAAATCACCAATGTTCCTTCTCGCGTGTAGTCGTGGGCCAACAAGGCTGTTGGAATGTGCGACCTCGGATGTCATACCGACAGCGAGAGGAACCACCCCGCCGAGTGCTGCGGCCAATTGCGAGATCTGTTTGGCGATAAGCGATCGGGGCATTGGAAGCTAAGTACTCGATGATCCAGTCACATGTCTGTCTTTTTCCACTTCGTCATGCTTGTATCCACTCGCAAAGAGCAGGGTCATGCGTTGAGAGACGTCGATTGGTCCCGCATTTGTGTTATTCCCACCCCCCTGTCGGCTTAGGAGCGGATGGAGTTTCGTGGCTGTCAGCAGCACATTTGTGCGCAGCGCCTTGCAGAATTGCAAGGTCAAATAGCCGGACGTCGATAGTGGCTGATCTTGCTACCGACTGGCGCTAGATGGTGGTGGTTAGTCTTGCTGCCGGCAAGAGCATCCGAGGCCGCACGCTCTTGCGGATCGGTCACTTTTGTTCGCAATCGTAGATCGGCCGATTCTCGAGAGAGCCTTTGTTTCCCCAGACCCAGGAGGGCCCCTGCAGCCCCCATGCGGCGGGCGTCGCCACCGCCCCAGCAGGCTGCACGCCCGGCAGCCCCCGTGCAGCAGACGCAGCCGGTGCCTGCCCAGGCCCACCCGCCGGCCACCATGGCACCCCAGCAGCCCGGCATGTTCGCCCAGATGGCCACCACGGCGGCCGGAGTGGCCGTCGGCTCTGCTGTGGTCAGTAGCTGCCCCTTCCCATGGCCGCGTCTTGTAACCCGCAACCAATCCTTTTGCTTTTATTTATTCGTGCTATTAGTTCAAACATGGGCTACTAGCATGTTTGGTAGTACAAGAGAAACTTGCAATGTAAGTGTAGGCCCCTGCCATTACAATTCGCAAAAAAGCTGAGCTACAATTGACAGCAGTGTGTCGGTAATTATTCACATAAAAAGTAGCATGGCAATGACAATATGGGAGAAAGACTGTCCAGTAAATGGTAACAAATATGACGCAAAGGTAGCTTTGACAGTGAAGCACTGATTGCAAAAATTAACATATTTATACAGTTGATAAGAGTTGCTCTAGAAACGTGGAAATGCTGGCACATTCAGCTACATTTCTAGGCAGTTTATTCCAGTTGGATGCAGTGCGCGTAAGAAAGGAGTACTTGAAAGCATCTACTCGGGAGTGACGTTCGTTAATTGTTTTTGAGCGTGCGAATCATGTGTTCGTCCTTTCAGAAAAAGTAATATATTTGTTTCGGTGTATTCTGGTATTCACAATTATTTTGAGTATTTAAGTGGAGTATTCACAAATATTTTGAGCCGGGCTATTTCTTCCGGGTGACAGTTCATTTGAAGCGTTAATTTTTACCATGAGTGCTTCCGAATCATGTTTAGTTTGTCTACACTTTTTTGTGTGAAAGGATCCCAAACGACGATGGCGTGTTAAAGAATAGGTCGGATTAATGTTTTATAGGCCGTTTGTGGTAGGTGGTGCACCCGGCAAGATTTCTTCAAAAACCACCACTTACTGTTGGCTCTCTTTATAATGCAATCAATGTGAAGGTCCCATTTTGGTTCGGAAGAAAAAATAGTGCCTAGGGGTTTTGACTAACACAAATGGCGCTACAGACAAGGACGAGTAGAAGTGGACGTTGTCCCGTCTACTTCTTTTCCGTAGTGCCTTTCGTGGCTCGCTCTGTCTACCGAACCAGTGAGTTTTTGTGTTCTACCGTCATTTTCAATTCGTCTGGTACTAAGCACTAAAAGTGAGCGGTTACCGCAGCGCTCAAACCATTCTCAATCTGTCCACGTTTGTCCGAGGTGTCTCGGAAAATTCCACGCGACGTGCCGACCTACGGGAGTCGAGCCAGGCGTTGCCTTTTAGCCAGGGTTCAAATCATGGTCCCGGTGCCCACAATCCGACGCAAGCTGGATGCGGTGTACGGTTTGCACAATTTCACTCGAACAAAAATTTCTTCGAGGCGGGCGCGTCGTCGAAATGCTTCCTTATACTCTTCGTTGGGTGAACATTTAAACCCACAATATAAGGAGTATTCACTGGGCGCCATATTTGTGGGTGATGTCTAGCGCGCATGCTCTGAACGAGCCCACATTAATAGGCTGCTAAGACTGGTAATCTTGAGGGTGCGAAATGCACGTTACAAAAGAACTGTGGAGGCACGCCATCAGCACGCGCTCAGCAGTCGTGCACACAGCTATGGCCGCCAGTGAATACTTCCTATAGTGAGGAGTGAAAGGATACGGGTGAGCTGGTTAGAAAACGTTGTAATGTAAAACCTAATAATGTTAAATTATTGGGAAATGTAAGGGTTCAAGAATTCCGGTCGAGTGTACGTGGCACCCGATGGATGTGGTAGACGAATGGTGGGGGGGGAAGCGGGGAGGCTTACCTGCGGCACAACTGTCCCTGCAGTGATGACGTGTGTGCAGGGGTGCTGAAACGGAGTGCCATGTTTGCTCCGACCCTGCGGTGGTCGGGGAAAGGAGTGCCCGTGGCAGCCTGACCCCGGGCCCAGGGGGAGAAATGCACATTGACTGAGCAGTGGGCCTGTGCACGCCGGGGTAGAGGGCCAAAATGACCGCCTCGTGTCTCGAGAGTGCTCGCTCGAGGGTAGAGGCAGCTTCAATCGCCAGCGATTATTCTTTGGAGCAAACCTTTTCACCTTCGTCCAGATTAACCCGTACGTTGCATGCATCAACGCAAGCGTAGGTTTCGGTCCGCAGTGCTCGTCTTGAAATTGCCCTGAAAGATGTGCTGGTAGCCACAGTGTGAAATGTCGTCGTAAAGATATCAATCGAGGCATCAATCAAGAGCCAGCTCTCCATTCTGCCATCCGATTGATATTGGGTGAAGGTACTTTGTTTTTATCGCGCCGCTTATGTGAGTGAACATTATTTGCCAATTTCATTTGATTTTGGATTTTGTTGGTTGGGGAGGAGGATGGATCACTAAGTTGGTTCAGTACACAAACATTCCAATTAGAAAGTTCTAGCTCCGTTTTCCTCGGTCTCCGGTGCATGGGTGTGTACCTTGGAAGCGCGGGCCAGTCGCTGCGAAGCGATCCAATTTTGGAATGTTTAGAAGAGGATTCAGCATTGATAGTTTCCACACATTGTTTTACTATATTAACTTTATTTGTCTCGCGGGGGGGGGGGGGGGGAACGCTGCTGATTGGCGCACCAAGCCCCACTCACTTCTATGTAGATGCGACTAAGTTTAGATTCCGAAACTATACTCATTTTCACCACAAAAACTGTGCTGGAAAGAGTTGCTGCAAAGTGTGACTGATTCCTTGAGTCATGTGATGAATTAAGATGCTTGTAAGCCTCGTGAGAACTATGTTACACAGCTTATGAGCTTGCCCGTTTCTCGAGGTGACAGTTTGTGTGGTAGAGTGCCAGTGTGCAGTGAGGCTGCTTTCTAGGACTACATCCTGCGCAGTGATCACCTTTTCATGCCCGTTCCTCGCAAGCGGGGCAAGACTCCGCCGTTTAGCAGCTCCCCCCTTGTGCGCAAAGGGATACGTATTGATCGACCCACTCGCGGTACAGGCTCTCCCATTTCAATGCCGACAACGGGTCCGACTACCCAGTCTCACTCTTTGCAGCGTTCCATTTTCTCTATGAATGTCTACGTTTCCCATTATCGAGCTGCTTGCATAAAAGTCTAATGTTTGCATTCGTCCGGTGGACCTCACTTTCCTTGTGTTTTTGCGCGTGCAGGGTCATACGATAGGCCACGCCCTGACGGGAGGCGGTGGCGGTGGCGGGGAGGTGGCTGCTGCCCCTGCCCTCGTGCAGCAGCAGCCGCAGCAGCAGCAGCAACAGCAACTGAGCGGGGCCTGCCAGTACGAGCTGAAGCAGTTCCTCGAGTGCGCCCAGAACCAGCACGACATCTCGCTCTGCGAGGGCTTCAACCAGGTCCTCAAGGAGTGCAGGCTCCAGAATGGTATCTGGTCTCCTTCCTTTGTCATTTTGCACGTCCGTTCACCCCTAGGCCCACGCCTAAGGGTGAACGGATCTGGCCACTCGTGGAATGCCCACGCTCCCAGAATTAACCGCTTGCAAAGGGCGGGTTTGCTTCGTGAAGGGAGGCGGTTGACAGGTTCTGCACTGTCGGCTTAGGGGTGAACGGATGCAAAGGGATGCATTGCGCGAAAGTTGCTCCATTTACTTTTAATGCCGAAGATCTCCATCTTTTACGAAAATCGGGGAGTCGACTTGTTGGGTCGCGGGGGCCTCCGCAGTTGGCCGAGTTGTCATAAAAATGGATGCCTCTAGCGCTGGATTGCCTACGATGGGTTGGACACAGGCTCCGCATTGGGCTGCAACTCGTCCTCGCTCGTCGAATCCCGACCGAAAATCTGGCTGCTGGCCTCCGGTTGGCCACATGGAAATTCAGTACTCCGGCCATCTAGGTGTTGGTCAAAAGCAGCGAAGGAGGCAAAAGGAAGGGAGACTTGTTCCATAATTTGAAGCGCCCCATTGCGGCAAAATGCCACGCAGTGCACTCTGGGAACTAGTTTTCAATTGGGCTGCTTCAGTCCACGCTATCACACCGTGACCAAATGCGCTCCTTGCACTTTCGACTATCTGAACTTTCCATCAATGTACAGTCGGGAGCAAAAGTTTGCGGGGCACGGGAGCGCGTGCCAAAATGCATCGCCGCGCCGTCCGACGGCGCGCCGCCGCATTAAAGAGACGCGCTTTGCGCATGCGCGCCTTTCGTGTTCGCATTCATGTCTCTTTCGCTCGTTTCTTTACGACGCACTCCTGATAACAGGAGTCGGCGCCAGGGGCGCGAGTTAGTGCTTCGCTAGCTGTCATGCTGCGCGTCTGCTTCAGCCGCCGCGCTTTGTCACGGAGCTCGCGTAGGGAAGGGGGGAGGGGGTTAACCAGGCGCTCCGTCACCCAGCGCGGCTGCTGTGGCGGCTGAAGAGGACGCCAGGCATGACAGCCAGCGAAACGGCAACTTGCGCCCCTGGCGCCGACTCCGGTTATCAGGAGTGAGTCGGACAGAAACGAGCGAAAGAGACATGACTGCCAGCACGAAGGGCGCGCATGCGCAAAGCACGGCTTTTTAATGCGGTGGCGCGCCGTTGCACGGCGCGGCGATGCATTTCGGCACGCGCTCCGGTGCCCCGCAAACTTTTGCTCCCGACTGTACATTGCTCCCATTCTTAAGCGATATAAAACGAAGTCCGGGGCACGTTTCTTGGTTCTCGACATATTGTGCATGCGTATGTAAACATAGTAAAACATATCTTTGAGCTCAATTTTAATAATCCTGTCTAGTACCGGTGAACCACAATTGAAATTTTGTCACTTTGAGCCCTATACCTATTTTGCTTGCCAAACGTCCGCTTCTCGTTAATTCATTGGGCGACAAACAAGCCGCATCCTTGCAGGAATCTCAAAGTTGTGCCCAATGTTGTCGCGTGAACTTTTAAGGAAACTCAATAAATTCAAGCTCACTACTGCACAAAAGTTACTGCAAAGTCTTTCTCGTGTCATCGTATATCTCCCCCTTTTGTTTTATGCTGATAGGGGATTAAGTTTGTGCAAACGCTGAGATCGGCTAGCTACGACGGAGGCCCTAACAAGCGTCCCCTACTCCTCACTGAGCCTTTTAAGCGAGCTTTTAGCGATGCCCAAGATCTGAGTCTGAACGGTGTGTCTGAAATTATCTCCGCGTACTGAGTCAGGAAGAAAGCAAACGCGTAACGAATCTTATAACCATAAGCAACCGTCAAATGTGCTTCGAATCGTTTGGTTCGTCTGGCGCACTGCCGTATACGTGTTGTCCGACGAACGGTGCGACATTCTTCACGCAAGTGCTCGACTGTTGGATTAATACTTCTGTTTGGGCGAGTTGGGTCATATTGATTTAGAAGGTTAAAAAGCCCAAACAAACCAAGGACAATTAAGACACAAAGACGACAGGACGGACGCTATCCCCGTCCTGTTATCTTTGTGTCTTAATTGTCCTTGTTTCGTTTGCGCTTTTTAACCTTCTAGCTCAACTGTTGCTTTCTTAAAAACGGTTTGAATGAGCCTACACGAGAGCAGGATATCTCCATGTGCATCCGCAATATTGAATTAGTAGAATGCAAGCGGGTCGGTACTTCACTTCGTGCAGTGCTGCGTGTCAGTACAGATGTAAAGGTGTGAGTTTGGTGTACTTTTTGGTCGTTGCAGCGTGTTGACTCGTACTCAATCAAGATCCCTGCGCTTTACAGCGACGAAATCCCCAGCACTGGCTCGTCCACATGCCTCGAAACTCTAACAGAAAGGCTCGAGTACAAAAATACTGCGAGCATATGTCGAGAGAAACTTTACATGGTTCGGGCTTGTGCTGAAGCTTTGCGGACCATTCGGTTAGTTTAGAGACCAAAAGTGACACACTCGGGTCGGGGCCAGGAAACACGAGATAACTCTCGGTGTATGATCTTTCGTCGACGTATCGATTGAAACTAAAACCATGCCACTCTCCTCCCTGGCCAACCAGGTCCCAGACTGCAACGCACGCAGGGATTTATGGAAGCAGTCTATAGAGGGCAGAGCCTAGAACAAAGTGCCTTTGGATGCTCCAAACAAAAGCACCTAGCTCGGTCTGACTGCGAGAAGATGGATATGGCATTCATTGTCGTTGAATGCGTGCGAGCACTTTCCCATTGTGCAGGGTCGTGACAGGCACGAGCAATGAGCTTGTGGCTTTAGAAATTACTCTCCTTGCTTGCGGTGCTGCACGAAACTCTCGAAATTAGGACTAGCGAACGCACGGGTGCGGAAATATCTCCCTTAAAAGTGCTTTGTTTCGACGAGCACTGTCTAAAGCAATGAACGCTCGAGATAGGGTTGTGGCATCTACTGCAACTTCATGTGTCTCTTTGTTCCTGTGGTTACTGAAACAGCCCATACTTTTCTTCTTGTTTCCAGGTGTGAGCATGTAAGCATGCGTCTCGAAAATTGTACAGTCGAAGTGTTGCTGCCACCGACGAAGTAGCCCTCCATGCAGCCCTTCGAGATGCACGTTGTAGGACAATGGCAATAAACCTGACTCCCGTTTGAAGGAACACCCCAGGCTTTATTTCATCTCCACACTCGTTGAGCTCCGATACTGAGCTTCCGACAAGAAGTTGAAAAAATAGCCTTTCGGAAAAGAGAAAAACTAGGTAAGGGAAATAAGCTTCCTGCTGGACACAACACAAAGGAAAGCATGGCAGTACACCAAACCAGCCCTGGCAGCTCTGGAGAAGCAGCTCACGAATCCTTCAGCTGCAGGCTCTTCAGAGCACTCCTGCAAGGACAGAAGAAACAGTCACACCATCTTCCTATAGCTGGTTAAGAGTTCAGGGGAAGCTCCACCTTAGCAGAGCAAATACTGGAGGCAACCTCCTCTGCTAAGGTGGAACAACCTGTCACCGACTTTACACAGTTCTATGCGGGACTGTCAAATGCCTTATAAAGTGCCCGGCTTTCAGAAACTCCCAAGAAGGGAAGCACTTTACCGGTGGCCTCTGTACGCAAAAACCCACATGATCACTGGGCGCACACCCGTCACTTTGGAGCATGAATACACTTTGTTCACCCTTAAGCTGAGACTAGAAGCTCCACCTTCAGCGCAAGCTTTCTGCCCAACTGAGAACGAGCAGGCACGTGCAACTGAAGCACTGCGGAAGCCAGCAAGCTCGCACTGAAGGCGAAGCTCCTAGTCTCGGCTTAAAGGCCGACAACCAGACACGAGACTCTGCAAGGCAAAAGATCCGTCTCACCCTGGGGGAGGAGGAAACAGGCAATGGTGGACCAAATTGGGTGGACAGGGTAGAAGGGGGGAGAGGAGGAAAAGTGGAGAGCGCAAGCTGGTCATCGGTCTTTACAGGTGAATGGAGTCTAAGCCCGCTCTTCGCTACGTATAGTCTACTCAAACTCCGTAAAATCAGCTTCGTTTAAATTTTTACGTTGTGGTTACCAGTTCTCACCCAACTTTTCAAAACCGGTATTCTTTTTTATTGAAAATAAAGCTGAAAAAGGGCCGCTAAAAAGCTGCTGGGTATCAAAATTAACTGTGACCATTAAAAGCGCTAAAAAGACTGGGACCAGTAAAGGAAGACACACGCACCAAGAGCGCACTTGCAACTCGAGTTAAATTTGAATTGATGTAACAAAAAAAAATGTATGTGCATGTCTGTGTGTATGTGTAGGCATATGTGTAGGACAGAAGTTGCTGGAACCTTTGTATGCCTTATCATCAAGACACCCATGTCATGTGTGCATATCGTCCTACTAATCTAACATTTATTCTTGCTAGCTTGGCCTGTCAAAGGACCGCAAATACAGGCTAAGCTCGTTATAACTGACCTTGATTTTGACCAAGATTTTGGTCTGTCGTAAAAGGAGTATGTTGTATGCAGATAAGAAGTTGAGTCAATGGTGCATAGAGGGAAACCAACCGAACTTCACAAATTGGTATGTTATATCCAAATGTCTGTTGTAACGAGGTCCGTCATGATGAGCTTAGACTGTATGCAACTTCCAAATCGTAGAGGGCAATAAACCTTTTCCAAGAGGCATTCTGCGCAAGCGCAAGTGCCCGATGCCAAGCGGCAGAGGTCGGCACGAAAAATCAAGGAAATTCGGAAGGAGGCCGTGGACCAGCGAGTAGAACACGTAACTGTAGTATACTATAATTGTGTTACACAAAAAAACAAAGTGGACGGAAAGGAAAACACAACATTTGGTTGGACGCCATGGATGCCCCTCTTTAAAGTCGCATTGGGCACACGCCGAAGCTCAGAGAGTGAAGAATCTGGTAGCGTAGCTCCCATTATCGATTGGTAGCGCAGGTAGGTCACTTCCTCGATTTTACGTTCGTCCAGCCACCGCCTGGTGCCGTCGGTACGTGGAAAAGGTCCATTGATGGGGCACTAACGCACGTATCGTGGCCAAACTTTAGAGTAATATCAAGTTAGACTAACATCCTCTTTTGTTTCTCACGAGGGTTTCTTTTAGTTAATGCTAGGTACTGTATTCTTAATAAATGGTATCAAGTAACCCTGATACAACACAATGCGTAAGCAAGGCGAGATGAATCGGGGCAGCTCACAGTTAATAGAATTTGAAAATGTGTCTGCCTCCCCTGACTGGTCAGGTTAATCCTAAGCCTCCTATTGCTCAATGTTCTCATTGTTTATTTTTTTGAACGGAAGAAAGTGCACACAATGTACAGGGTGCTCAATTTTTGTTGTAACATAACTTTTTTTTATTTTTTCAAAAGGGGGTAAAGGTTGGAGGAGTTCTCTCTTCACCCTTAGTTTATCAGACTGGGCAGACTTAAATGAAAATGATTGTCATGCTAAGTTGACTAACAAACTAAAATGTGTTGATAAACTGTTCAAACTTGGTTTTAGGGGCCATGCTTGAATTGCAGTATTGACGGCAATTCTGTTAGATACCAGACCAATTTTAAGAACGGGAAAAGGTAATATTTTTAGGTATCTATCAATTTTCACATTTTTTGCCCATTTGACAAAAATTGCGCTCAAGAAGAGTGTTGCAAGCTCTGCCTGCAATGACGCTCATTTTGGGCAGTCGTTCAAAGGGGCATTGACAGGGTATTTATCGTGCTTATTTTAACCTGAGACGGGGGCAGAAGAAGGACATTTTTTTTTTTTTTACAGTGCAAAAACTAACAGGGACAGACAGCGCCCACTTCGAAAGATAGAGACGCTGTCTGTCCGTGTTACTTTCTTTTCAACAGTAAAAACATTTCCTCCTTCTGCCCCAGTCTTGGGTTAAAACAATCGTGGTAAACTTCCACCAGCTTGCCTGTGCACTGACCGTAATTTCGTTAAGGGTATTTATGCTCACCAAGGTTTTTGGTTGTACATGACATATCAGAGCCCAACTGCCCAAAACAATTTGTGGCTCATAATTCGTTTTCTTTCCGCCCGAATATCGCCAATTAAAATCTGGCTGGTTTAAGTCGCGCTCACTCCCTCCTTTGTGGTCACATGCTGTTCTCTGGTTTAGACGGACGACACACACCAAATATAATCGGTCGTGGTTCATTGAAAGCACACACTCTATTAAAAATAGAAAAAAAAAATATAATTAGAACGCTCCCACGGCTTTTGAGGTACGTCCAGAAGATGTTTGACACAGAGGACTTCACCTGCTACAAGTGGACAAATCCCATGATTACTCTAAAGTGGATTCAAAGGCAACCGCAGCGCTGGGAAACGTTTGTCGCAAATCGTGTTGAAGAGATTCAATGGCTGACAGTAAACCCACTTCAGGTATTGTCCAGGAAAGGATAATCCGGCCGATTTTCTCACTGGGGGAATTTCTGCCGAAAGAATGAAGGCTGCCCAAGCTTGGTGAAAAGGTCCAGTGTGGCTCCAGAGACCCATTTCTGAATGGCCCGACCACTGCTTTGAAGAAGCTCAGGTGAAAAAGGAAGACTGCACACCTGCTGCTGTGCTACCAGCTAGAACGAGCTCTTTCGAGCCATTGTTCGATCTCCATTGTTAGAGCAGTCTGCAGAAGGTAATCCGACTTACTGCCTGGATACTTCGTTTTACGAACAACTGTTCAAGGGAAAAGCTGTCAGCAAATCACCTCTCAGCGGACGAAGTAACCCGAGCAGAACTGTACTGAATCACACCTGTTCAAAACATGGTATTCTTTGAAGAGATAGCCTCACTAACAGAAAAACAGCAAATAAGTAAAAGCTCAAAGATCGCCGAGCTTAGCCCCCTTTCTTGACGACAAAGGAGCGTTGCAAGTAGGCTGAAGGCTCCACGAATTGCATTCCACAGAAGTAAAACATCCTCTCATTCTACCAGCCAACCACTGCATAACAAAGTTAATAGGGAGTTTTAAAATAAATAAAATAATTCACGTGTCATGGTGCTTATCGCACCATGACACGTGAATCTGCAGCATCCATACTATGCGGGGTATCTCTTCCCATGACATGCAAAATCCAAAATCGTTCCTGCATTTTTTTTTTTGTCTGTGATTTTTGCGGGCGATATTGGTTCCTGTGACATCCGAGTTTGAGAAGGCCGGGTTCTTGCGTCTATATCATACTAGCGCGAATCGCTGTGTCCGCGTTCTGCTGCCATACTCGTGACTGGGGAGTTCATAGCGAATTCCCGCACACTTATTGCACACGTGAGTTCGCCGTGTCTGCGATATGTATCAGTAACGAAAAGACAGTGAGTGCGCAGGCGAGCTGGTGATGCTTAATCATGATGTTTAAAACCCGAGACTGGTGAGGGAAAAGTTAGGAAACTTTGAAGTTGAAGAGTTCCCGTTTCACATAGCTTGTAGTGCCCCCCCCTGGTCACACATACACACACGCACATATACACACACACACCCTTTACCTTTTAATTTTGGGTGGGCATTCTTTCAAGACCTTATGTTATATAAATGTGTACATAAGAGCTTGCTGGTATTTGTTCACCCATCATCTAATTTCTGGGGAAAGCAATAACTATTCTATAAAATTAAACATTTGGCATAATATATATATATTTTTTTTGCGTGTTTGGGGCGAGTGCTTTTGCTGAGACTGCTTTTGCACTCCTCATTTGTGTCGTAAACATAACATATAAAAGCGATAATTGGTTGCCTCGATCATCTCTAGAGTTTCTTGTAAATGACGTACAGAGCGCGACACTGTTAGCACGATCAAGCGATCACCGGTTTTTCCAGTTTTTCTCTTTGAAACCAAAGGATGTCATCCAAGTTATTATTGCTACGGAAAGAGCTCATTTGGTTCTGTAATGTAAGCGATAAAATTTCGTGCTCGCTAATACTGTTTAGAAGTAAAATGCGAAAAGTGTGCCGATGTTGTGTTCCCGCTAACAGTGTCACGATGTGTATGTGGCGAATACACCTGCTGGCACCCAAACAGCATGTCGGCAGGAGGACGAGGAGAACAGTGAGAATGTCCTGCTGAGCAAAACAAAATCTAAACCGTTGTGCTAGGACGCATCCAAGCAATGCGAAGAGCAAGTCGTCTGCTTCTTGCACAGGAGATGCGGTGACATCAGAATGACGCCGAGC